CGGCACATCTCAACCAGATCTTTAAGAATATCTTTAGCAGGAGCCTCCTTGGACTTGATATACACTGATCCCACAGTACAAAGAAGGTACCTGGAAAGATTCCATAAATCAAGAGTTCTACAAAACAGTACATATACAATAGTAGCAATGCTCAATAAACAAAATATACATTTCCAAAAATTGATGGGCAAAATAACAGCGAACTTCGCTCTTCCTATAGGGACTTTTCAACCTAATCACCAACTTCAAACCATCCAAAAGAGAAAAGCAAGGTAGTCAACCAATGAACTAAAACATGCATCACTCTAATAACTTGTGTATTATACATATCATTGACCATTAGACATAAATACATAATTTTATTAGTAATAAATATCATTAATATATTTGAACGTGCATAAAATGCTTTGAGATTAGAGTTATTCTCTATTGTAAGAAAAAAAGCATTTCATTGGCGCTTCCATAGCCCTTGAAAAAATGAGCAAATAATCCAGTTTTAAGAAGATAATTGGCTCAGTTTCGGCCCGAGTCAAATTTTCCCTAACATTTATGCCAGCAGAATACAAAAGGAAGATAGTAAGTGATTGCTGGAGAGTGGAGAAAAGACACTAAGATTGGAATTTAGGCCATAGAAGAAATCTTTTTGAAGGAGAGCCAGAAAATTAGTCAATTTTGTTTCCAAGCTACACAGGAAATTCCAACATAAATGAGGACATTTTTTGGGACCCTTGACTGCACATGAAGGTTTTCCTTCAAATCGCAAATTCCCCTAAATGCATCAATCACCAAATTGGAGAGATTACTTGCAAAGTAAATTTGGTATCAGACGATAAAAAGTTATCATATATCCTATGGTAATTGACCTATAATAGGTTGAACACCCAGGACAAGATTTAAAGAAGAACCCCCCACCCCCATCTCTCATATATTTGTTTGAATTTTACCTTGAATGAGGTAATGACCATTGTTCATCCATTTGCAATTTTGCCAGAAAATGTTTAAGGCCCCAATTGTGAAAACTTATTCTAGAAAGGGTAAATTGGGAATCGACCATGTGGGAAGGAATAACGATCTGGAGAGAGAAAGTGGGAAGGGGAGTACGGAGTGATGGATAAATGTTAGATATTGGTCTGCGGGAATAGGGAGAGGATCATCTGGTTATTTTGTGCTTTTGCTAGGAAGGCTAGGTTAGGAGAGATCACCCACCCTCTCGAATTGGTGGGGAAGCCTTGTATTGCCTGAGGGATGTTTATCTTGTTATTGAAATCCAAACTTTGTGAATCGATACCTCACAAAATGCTGGAACTTCATCAGTACAAACTTTAAATACACTGGGGACTGACTTACAAGAATCCTCTCAGGACAATGATTTTGGGTAAAGAGTGTTGTGGGGAAATTCTCCTAGTACTCTTTTATGAACCACTTGGATTACTAGAAACAACAGGATTTTCAATGACAAACACAAGATCTTTATAACTTTTGACGTCTTATACAATACACAATTTTAGTTGGAGTACTTTACTAGTTCTTTAACTACACTATTTATGTAATCAACTTATTGGGGGGTCTTTGGCAAGAATGTATCATCCCCCTGGCCTCTAGGTTCATTTTTATTAATTAAATTTTTTTTCCTATCTTTTTTTTCCTTTGTGCAAGAAACGAACTTTTCATTGATTAATGAAAAGGAACGATAAGATTTTCAAAGAGACAAACTCCCAAGAAATTGAAAGAAAAGGCAAGAAAACATAAGAACCAAACCTCAAAAAGAACAATACAACAGAAATCGATAAAGCTAACAAGGGGGAGAAATGAAGAACTCCCAATTCAAACAAATGTGCTGGAGAGAGTATTCTTTCCTGTTATTAATAAATGTGGAGTCAACAATCATCCAGAGGGGCACCACTAAGAAAATAGACAATGGAAGTAATTTAAGAAACTATTCTGAGGAAGAATCGAAACAAAGCATTTCAGTCAATCCCTTAGTCCCTAGGATTCAAAACAATAAACAAACAGACAAAAGAATGAGTCTGGAAATTTCCCACCACTAGGACTCTTTCTGGGAAATATATTAGTTCTTTGTAACCACTACCATAATCACGCACATCAAAAGAAGGCTTTAATGGTATTAGGTCAAAGAAGTTTGGTTTTTCTTTTCAAATAAAAGCTGCAAGAAGACTCTGTAAGCTCTGCAAAGCCGAGTTACGGAACACAAAACTCACTCCAAAGTTCCAAAAGCTTCTACCAACTATATAAAGTAACTGGATAGTGTATAAAAAGGTGAACGGCGTCTCCACTACCTCTGCTGTAAAAAACACACCAATCCAGCTGAAGAGCATGACAAGGGTGCGTTAATTACACTTTATCATTCATATTTAACCCCCTCACAGCCTCTCACACTTACCAAGGTAGCCAAAGAGGAAAGTCTCTTATCACTTGCTTTGCGTGCCTTAACCCTCACTTCTCACATATTCACTTATTCACCTAATCATTTTGTTTAAGGTTCATTTAGTTGATTACCAACAAAATAAAGGCTTTCCCTTCATCCTAGAGGTAGATTTTGATTCCTAGACTTGTGGGCGAGCTCTTTTTTCCTCTGTATACAAGTCTAACTCCACATGCCCCAATTTTTCTACATTTGTGAGTTCTTGTGCATCATCTATCCAAGATGCACACTCAAAAAGGTGAAACTTGCACCCTGAACTTGGAAGATTTTGTGGCACCCACAACACCAGTTGCATGTGCCTGCAAGCTTCTTCTCTAACCTAGTTTACTTGCGATCAATTCTTCTTACCCAAGACCCTCTTCCCACTGACCACCAATCAAATGGTAAAGAATTGCAAGACTCAATAGACCCCTTCACGCAGTTATTTGAACTAAACAGTGTCTGAGCTCACAAAAGCCAAAACCTCATACCGTAACTTAATAGGCCAATTAAACAGAGTTTCACTCAAAAGACTGAAATGTTATGAAGAAATTTATTGAACAAAGAACCATGCCAGAAAAACCTAGAAGTCATTTCTGCAGAAGCTTACGTCCATCATACAAAGAGAAGGGAAACACCAAAAGGTACAAAACCTAGTTTGCTGTTTGCAGTACACTAAATCAAATGTCAGGATATGTATCACTCACAATCTGGGTAATATGTTGCCTGCGTGCTGCACAAGTTCGTACAAGTCAATTATTGAGCAACCTCGTTTCGTCTCCTCCATAAAGAAAATCTCTAGCTTCCTCAACTCATCAAATGCCCGCATATCTAACACATAAAAGAATCACATAAGTTCTCCTCTTTTCATCAATTTAAAAGACAAAATAGAGTTCAAATTCGTGACCCAGTGATGGAGAGAAATAATAGCTCACATAAGTCGTAGTATTTATGAGGGGAAAGCTTGGAAGTCCGTAGCTCAGACAGCATCTGCGCAGAATACTTCAAGGCATCTTTAAGATTATTCGAGTCCTGCTCCAACACCAAACTAAAATTAGGGTTCAAACGAAACTCCCTCTTAGCATCAAAACATTTGAAGCTTTCCCATTTCCTCGCTGATCTAAATGGACTTTAAGAGCGATAAATAAACACGAAAACAATTGTAGTCGTGAAAATTCAATAGTAATACCAGAGATCGGTGCATGTAGAACGCATTCTGCTGGAGACCGGCGATCCCAGCAGCAAGCCATTTCTCTTCATCCTCGACTCCGTCTGTCATCATTCTCCTCCCTTTTTCTCTCTCTGTGTGCAAAAATTCTTCCTCTGCAGAATTGGGATTCAACTTCGTTCCCAGCTATGGCTTCTTCCACGATCAACTGACAGATGTAGAGCTCGGATCAGCGAGAGATCGAATGGCCTTTGAGCCTTGACGTTAACGCCCCGGTTCCGCTACGTCCAAACCCGGTTGATCTGCCGGATCCTATCCATATTTAGATCCGACCCGCTATTATGTTGGTCTTCAAGATTTGCTTGAGAACTGTGATATAGTGTTGTTTTTCTTTTTCGTTTTTAAAAAGGTTAAAAATTAATAATCAAATTCATTATTCTCACTTCAACCACACCCACTAAAATTAACTTGATGTACTAATATCAAAACGAATATAGTTCAATTGGATGTGATATTGACTCCTTCAGTTGGGGTTGGATTAACTAATATTCATATCCTACATTTATTGTACTAAAAGAACTAGTTATATAATCCAACAATTTTAATTTCGTGAAACTAAGTTGTTATTAGTTAAACCGACCAAATTGGTTTATTGGTTTTTTTCAATTATGACTTGCACTAACAGGTTAGATATCTAACCTGTTAACTTGGATTTCTACCGTGTTAAAGACAAAGAAAAGTATGGAGTAAAAGAGATATTAATGTCATGCTAACCAATGATACACTAATGGTCGGAAAATTTTTCCAATAAAGTGTGGATAATCCTTTTATTCATTGTCTTTCACGTAAGTAACATATTCAAAATAATATGGAGTCTATCAATATTAAAAAATTATTTATAAAAGGAAAAATTATGGAGTGAACAAGAAAATATGGTGCACCTCTTCCTACGATCAATCAGAGACGCTCTATCCTATTCTATTTTTATATAGATGGAAATTTAAGAAGAAAAAAAAACTGGAAATTTGTCCAATTTTCAAGCGTGGAAAAACGTAGAGAATAAGAGGAAATGATAGCTTGACATGTATATTATTCACTTTGGGATCAATTCAACAGCTAAATTAGAACAGAAGAGAGTAAAAGGAAGAGTAACCAGTTTCACAAACAACAATTTTGAATTCATCTGCCACCATTTTGAATTCAATCCCTTCAATAGTACTACTACTACAGTCGCCATTCTTTTGAATCAATTGCAGCAGAAATAATTGGAAGACATAGTTACGAATTTCAACCACTAACTCCAAGATATAAATGCATACACAACATTACCAATTTCAGAAAATTTGGCTCTAATACCAAACTAATTCATTTCAATGAGATACAAAGAAGTTGCTAAACCATGAAGGCTGATTAAAAAACAGAACAAGCAGAAAACAAATCTTTCGAATATATATAGAACTATACAAGTAACCAGTTCGGAATAGATTATTCCCACAGCTACATTCTCATTCCAACAGAACAGGAAGTTCCATGATACCTAAATCTGCCCCAACACAGCTACAAAATTTGAAGAATTCCTATATTGGCTGAACCAGCTACAAGCGAAAAAGACAGAGAAAATCTATACACAGAAATAAGAGACAATGAGAAATTGCCAACTACTTCAAATCAAAGAAGTTTATTTTGAGCAACAGCTTGGCACAACTCTTCCTCGTAAAACAGAACCCGGTTAGAAGCCAAGGATTTGCAGAGAGGTTTGGATATAACAGATGGAACCATGCATCTCGGAGGAAATGCTGATTCTTGAAAGAGAACAGCAGCAACCTGCCTCATCTCGGAAACTTTGAGGCGAGATGGCGGACGAGGACCATGTCTCGGTGCCTTGGGAGTGTGAGGGCTTGGCATCAACAAGCCTTTGCCATCTCCCTTGCTGTAGATTATTAGTAGAAGCCAAATCAATCAGATAAAGATACTAAATATGAAAATTTTGTAAGTATCAATATGAAAAATACCAACCTTACAAAGGGCCAGTGTTCAGAGGGTCGAGGGGTGGTTGTTCTCAACATCTCCTGTCTGGATCGATCTGGAGTTGTGTAATTAAAGTGGAATTGTCTTGCCAGCAAAACCTGGTTAAAAAGGATCATCAACCTCCAAAAAATGTGATTCATTTCAAGGACAGATAGACAACTACTTACAGCCTTTCTGATCCGTTGAGAAACATGGAAAACCGCCCTTAGTTGGTCATGGTGTAAATGGCAAAGTATTTTCACCTTCAAGTGATGAATTGAAAATATTAGATTAGCAGCCAAACAGTGCACAAAATTAATTAATATCCACTGATAATGCAAAATATCATAACATGAGAGGAGGGTACTTGTGCAAAAGAGTACAAATACAAATATAACAGCACATGTCCAGATCATCAGATTCCTGTGCGTTTACAATAAAATTAAAAATTAAAAAAAAAAAGACGGGATTTCTAAGTTTATAATTTAGAAAGATGCGGCTCGATTTTTATAATTTAGAATAAATTTATATCGGCTCTTCTCTTCAAGATAAGAAATGGCCGCTAGGCTAGACACTAAAACAAAACAACTAAAGTGCCAAATAAATAATGACACCACTCAATAAATAAACAAGTAATTCATTAGTGACAGATCAAAAAAATAGCCTAGCATAGGGGTTCTCTAAAATAAGCAGGCCTCCTTCATGGCTTAAAGAAAATCATTACAATTGGTCCTGAAAAGAAAATGTTAAATTTTATGCATTTGAGGTAGCTTTAAGATAAACATGTTTACTACAGGGGAGCATAAAAGAATAAGATGTATGGTAATAGTACCAGTAGATCCATAGGTAAAGATTCCAGCCGCGACTCTGATTCACAGGCTTCAACCCGAGGAGTTCTTGGAGTTCCAATATGATTTATATGCATCACCAATTTCACAGGCGACAACATCATAGGACTTTTATCAGAAACTTTATCCTCAGGCACCGCATTTCTCTTCGTCTTCCCAGTATCCAACACAGCGACCCTCTTCCTCCCAAGATCAGTACAAGATTTAGCAACCGAGCCCTTGCTACACCGCAGCTGCGCTAGAGCACCAGGCTTCAGATACTTCCCACCAGAGCCCTTCGATCGTCTCCTCCTCTTCAATTTCTTCGAATCCCTATCATTCGAAAACACCTTCCCCATCCCTTCCCTCACTTGATACAGCAACTCCAAATGCGTTTCCTATTTCCCCAATAAACTCTCACCATCAATAATTAAAGCAAGCCATCAACAGAACCTGCAGCACAAAAGTTCAAAATAGAAACACCATCAATGAAACAAAAACAAGGAAGAACACCCGAAGCGCCGCCATGATTCTATTAATAGAAACAACTTCTTGAACAGTAACGGATGAGCTCGGAAACAAGACGCATAGGAAATGCGTCAGAAACACCAAGAACGACAAAAACCCACCTCTATAAGATGCTGAACCCCCCAAAACCCTCGCAGAAAGCTATTTCAAATTCAAGAACCCAAGAAATCGAATTGCGAAATGAATAAAACGGAGCAGATAAAGGGAACGAACGAAATCGAAACAACGAATATCAGGAAAAGAAAATCAAACCTGTGAATCGCTGAATCGAGAAACTTTCGGATAAACTCCTCGAAATTCGCAGAGCGAGGGAGAGAGAGAGAGAGAAGAAAAAAAGAGAGGGAGGGAGGGAAAATAGGGACGAGACGAGAGAGAGGAGCTAGGGTTTGATCTTTATTTGAATTTCACGAAATTGCCCGCCAAAATTTTTGCAAGCCCACAGTTGCAATAAAACACAAAATTGCAGGTAATTTATTGGACACGCGTCACGCTCTCATTGGCTATAGGGTATACGACGTGGAGAAGTGGGCCCCAGCGGACCATGGAAAATGGCGGTGATTGCGTCGCTCAGGTATAGAAAGTTTGCGGATTTTTTTTTTTCTGGGAAATGATAATTTATTTTTTATTTTAAAAATTAGGCTGTGGGAGGGAAAACCAAAATATACTTTATGCATTTTGGAGGGAAGTTGACATTTAACATAAAGTTTTCCCTCATTCATTATTTTGACTCAATAAAATTAAAAGTTAAAAAAATATATATTGTTTGTTTAGTTTGATTTGATTTTGTAGTTCGTTTTAGTTTCAACTATTTTTTGTTTTGGCAGAAATAACAAAATATATAATTTATTGTCAATTTTAATTTTTTTTCAATTCACTAGTTGATTTAATGTTAGTTTTATTTTTTCTTTTATCATATCCTCATGGTCCAACTTGATCATGATTCAATCTCTATTAGTATCAATCTAAATATAACTCAACTAGTTAATTCAATAATAATATGGCAGAAACTATTATTTCCAAAAATTGTTTATATACTATGGTTATTTTGCTGTGGATCGGTTTAATTTTTAAAGGACGAGAATATCCTTGGGGGAGTGGGGGAAAGAAAAATATCAAAGGGGTAAAAATGTACATGTGGGTTTAAGGGGGACAGATATGGGAAGCGGACAAAGGGGTAAATTTCATGTGAGATATTAATGCTTGGTGAAGTACAAATAAACCCATTCACGCCGCATGTATCACTCGTGAGTTGGAGCTTTCTTTCAGGCTAAGTCCAGGGGCATAACCGTCCAAATGAGCGTAACTGAAATAATTATTCTTTAATTTTTTAATATAATTTGGTGATTATCTCAATCTATCTCTGATAAGAGGTCACGAGTTCAAATTTCCTATTCTCGCCTATATATTAAAAAAAACTGATACAAATCTTCTATAATATTCAAAAAGTAAATTATACGTACGTGTATATATATATATATATATATATATTTTTTAAATGATATGTTTATCTAGATAATTATTATCTATTCTCTAATTTAATATTATTTTATTTTCAAAATTACAAGATTCGAAATAAAAATTTTCAAATGTTCTACAACTGCTGCATTTACAAGTCTACCCAAAGCTGTTATTAAAACAAATGAAGTGCGTCTTTCTTCTATTTATATCTCCTTTTAAAAAACAATGGAACCAAAAGATTCAAACCTAATATTAATCATTTAAATTAATTTTTTTCTTCTTAGTCGAGCTGTTATCATGTATTATATTAAAATAAAAAAAGTGGTCATATTTAAGGTAATTACACTTTAGCATTTTTTTTTCTTTTGTTATCAAATAGCATAGGATAGTTTTTTTCTTCTTATCTTGAATTTGAAAATCCTTTGTATAGACTCAATGTTATTTTGTTTGCGTTAGCTCAATTATTCAAGGTACCTGCTTCAAAAAAGATTAAAAAACAATGTTGATAAATGTGGTTTAGTTGAAGTAACGATTTAATAATTGAACTTTAGTCTATAACGATTTAATATCTATATTTTTAATTGACATCAAATTACTTCATGAATGTTAATATGTAACAAATTAGTCATTGTAGTTTAAAATTCGTAGCGATTTAGTTCCTAGCATGAAAAATGTTTTTAAGATTTAATATGATTTATTATGCATATAGATTAATAAATAACCAAATGAATTTATAAATTGCAAGTACTAAATAGTTGTACAATAATTATAAAAAAAAAATTAGTTGTACAATGGAAATGACATTTAATTTCGACAATATTTTTTACATCAAAAAACTATCAAAGGATTGCATAATGGAAAATCGAACTTATAATATTTTGATTGGAGATATATGTTAATTACTGTTGAATTATGCTCACTTCGACGATTAAAATTTATAAATTTAATCATCGCTCCGGTAAATTTACATGCATCAACATGTTTTATAGGCTTGTAGCTTAAATAATAAAAAAAAAAGTATAAAATAGAGCATTGGATTCTGAATTGTACTGTGGGAACAGTGGGAGTGATATATTAAGATCCACGCAAGCAAAATTTTGTTTGGTTGTTAAAAAGACGTTTTAATAATATTTAATAATGTTGGAAAAAAGTCAAATCCATCCAAATCAAATGGGCCAAACCTATTATAATACTCATTTGCACGTGTGTTTCTTCCACTCCTCACGTGCTGCCACGTCACTTGAACTTGTGCCACGTGACTACATTTTCTTTCCTTTTTTTTTCTCTCTCTCTTTTATTAATAATTGTTTATATGATATTTTGGATAAATTAGTCATTTGGCAGGTGCAGTGCACGTGGTAGATAATTCAATCAACTTACTAATATATAATCTTTGATCTCTTATTTTACGTGGGCTTGAGATTAGTTCGCGTTTAGTTTAATCTTTTGATTTATCACTGGAAATAAATCAAATTAAAACATGAACGGTAAGGTAATCAATTTTACCATAAACTATTAATTTAATCAATTTACACCTTTATCGCTTGGATAAATGTTGCAAATTTTCTATTGAACTTTAATAAATGTTTAAATTTTTACATAGAGTAGATTTACATTAGAAAATATGTTCAACAACGTATTATCATATATGTCAAATTATTATGAAATATATATAAGGTGGGGAATTGATATGACTTAGACAAAAACTGATGGTAGAGCTTATTTATTTACTAATTAATTTTTAGGTTTTAGAATATTTATTTAATTGTCGATTTTGAGCCTTTATCAAATTTGTAAGCTTGATTTTCAATAAATAATTGATTTTTTAGTTTTTACTTCATTTTTATTTTTATTTTTTATTTTGAATTAGTGAAATTTAATAGAGGGTACAAATTGCAATACTTATCAAAATTTAGGGTTCAGTTTGATGTCATGGAAAGTTTATGGTACAAATTGATACAATTTATCAAGTTTAGGGGTAAAAAATAATATCTTTTAATATAATTTTGGATGCATTCATCGTAATTAAATATGTAGATTAAGTAACATTTGAAAACTAAAGTATAATAAATCAATCTGCATGCATGACATTAGTTTGTTTAATACAAATGCTAAAAGTTATTTTAAAACAAATACCAATAACTATGACTTTAAAATAAAATATGATTGAATTATCTATATTATATAGGAGAAAGATAATGAAAATTAAAAATTAAAAAAAATATATAGTTTAAAGAAGAAAATATAAATAAATACATATATATGTTTATTACATAAAAAAAAACAGTTTAATGCAAAAAGTAACATCACAAAATAACTATACAAAGGAAGTGTAGAAGAAGAAACCATGAGGGGAGGACTTTGAAGCTTCAAGGAATCAATGTTAAGTATAAACTCCAATTTTGATCAGGGTGTGTTTGGAGAGTCACTGTAAATAGAGTAATTTTGAAAAAAAAAAATATTTAAGTATAATCCACTTTCTAAAATTACAAATGATATCTTAAAAATCAATTATTTTTTTAAAAAAAATCTTAAAAATCAATTTAAAGCGATTTTAAATTTTTATAAAATTAATTTTTTTAATTTACCAAACATAATTCATGGAAAGGTAAATCATTTTGACAATAACAAAAGTGATTTTGGTCGTACCAAAATTATTCCCAAAACACACCCTAAGTATATCTTGTGCTCCAACAACGAGCTCCAATTTTAGTTACATATTAAGACACTAAAAACTAGTTACAACCCGTGTTCAAAATGTCGATGTCGTTGAAAATGTCGAGGTCCCGATTTTACGGACATGTCGATGTCGATGTATATTTCGGGAAAAATAATGGAAATTGTGGAAATTGATGGAAATTTTTTGAATTAGCAAATAAAACTTGAATTGTAGCTTAATTAGCCTATAATTGATCACATTTAACCATTAAATGTAAGAATATGACTATTTTACTTATGAAAATGTCGATGTCGATGGAAATATCGAAAAAATATTTTTTCCTTTAATGAAGATTGATGAAAATTATTTGAATATGTAAAGTAAACTTTAATTGTAAACTTTTAACTACTTCTTTAGTGTTTTTCATAATAGGATTCATTTGGAAATGAGATAATTACCGACTTGGTTTCCAAACACATTTCTAAATTCTAATTAACTCGTACCTATTTACTTTTTACCTACTTCTCTTTTCAAATTTGAATTTATAATTAACTCGTACCTATTTACTTTTTAGTTACTTCTCTTTTCAAATTTGAATTTACACATTTTTCAAACACATTTTCAAATCAATCATCAATCCAACTTTCCAATCAAATTTACACAATTTTCAAACACTTCAACCTCGTGATTGTGTCATTCATCCAAATTATCTACCAATAGGATCTATATGTGCTTCATATTCTACTCATTTGAGCAACTACCTTCAAAACTTTCAGTATAGGATAACTGAGAGGTGAACTATTGTAATTTATATCAAAGTTATCAAGATAGTTGCACTAGATCCTCTGAGATCATCTTTTTGGTATTAATTAAGATACCTATTCTACTTCATGTTTCGCCACTATTTGTATATAATAATATTTTATTTTTAAAAAAAATCTAAGACTATTTCAATCTTTATATATGTCAATATTTCACATATATTGTTCAATTATGTAAGTAAGGACTAGATTGGATTATAAATTATCAATAAAGCAAATTCCAAATCTTATTAGTTATACTTTATACAGTATTAAAATTCGAATGGTTCATTGAACAGATTAAGATTACAATCATCGAGGTTGTGAGAAATTATAGACTGCAGTGGCATAGTAAGAAGACGATCAAAGTAAAATAACCTTAAAGAAGAAGAGGGAAAAAAAAGACATGTCGACATTTTGTCGACATTTTCACATGTCGACCACATGGGGGAAAAATCGACTTTTCCCCCATTTCAACGTCGACATGCTCGACACGTCAACATGTCCAGCGACATGTCCAACTAATTGGAAGGAAGAATTTGAAATAAGAAATCTCAAATGTACTCCACAAAAACTTGTGATAAATCCAACAAAAGATACACGTTCCAGAACTTTTTCGGTTCTTTCGAGTTTGAGCATATTTAGGAGTGTTAGGGACCTATTAGAAACCTCTTATTGAGATTGGACAACCATCTGACTCTACAACATTTGGTTGTCAAGGAAGTTCGGAATATTCAATCTCAAGTAGGTGACCATCATTGTTTGTACCAATTTCTTTTAGAGCAAACAACGTTTTTTTCACCTGGAGGAAAAAAAAAACTATTGGAAGTAGATTTCAGCATTCACGTGACAAGTGGCGAGTGGATGCAAAATTTGATACGTGGCTCATAGATACCATAAAAAACCACCTAAGTATACGCATCTCGACTCATCCGTCTGATCGAGCCAAATCCCTTCGGTGGTCGAGCCAAACAAGCTTGTTCACGATCGCGTTCCCATGTTATTGGTCAAGTCGATTGGCTTACCTCAGCTCGGTCATGCCTCCAACACACTCCACGACAGCACGCCGCATTTCACGATAACCTTAAAGAGTCGTTGAGGCCTTGTCGGGAATACTGTCGGGGGCTTCGCCTATAAATGAACCATTCCGTTCATTTAGAGGTACGCGAACATTTCGATTCTCTCTCGATTTAGTTCGGACTTTCACTGACTTTGTTTGCATCGGAGTACTCACTCTGTTTTGCAGGTCTTCTAGTACATGACATTCGGAGCTCACTATCCAGCTTATCCAATCTGAATCGACGTTTGCGGAGTTAGTCAATTTCTTGATTCAACAAAAATATTCACACAAATTATCTTCCCTAATTTTTGATTTAGCAACTAGAGAAAAGCATTAGAATAACCCATTCTAAGTCTCACCATATCGTTTCACTAGTCAACATTAATGCATCCAATAGATTTCATCCTTGAAGGTTAATGAACAAAGTCCTAAATAAAGCGTTTGTCCATTCTATCACATTTATGCCATCCAAGATTGGGTGAGCTTCGTGAACAATCTCAATAAAATAAAGCAAATCAAGAGAATAAATTAAGGAATAATCAATGTTTGATGGATGGTTACATAATACCTAAAAAAGGAAACAAACCAGTACAATAATCTATTGTTTATAGGGTGGAAATCTTGTTTGTAGATATCTACAAAGTTGAAATAAAACCAAATCAAAGCCAAATAAATAATAATAATAATTTCATCTAACACAAGGTTTTTGTTTTCAACAAAAAATAATTTTATTGTTGTATGAAATAAAAAAAAAACGAGGAGAAATAGTTCTGAAAACCAAAGGAGTCACGTGAAACTTTCTCCACTTGGCCAAAAGTGAATCGAAACTATAAGAATAAAAATGAGGCGATCATTTACACCAACTAATCGCATTGAAAATAGTATTATCAAACAATCTATCAAATGAGAGTTCCAGTCCATAGTACGAACACGTCGCACATACACTCTAGTACACGTTCCTTGATGCTGAGGCATCTCGAAGGTACTTGACCGGAACAATCTATCAAATGGTAAGAACCTAATCAAATATTGGGATCCACCTCAAACTTGATAATCTCATTTTCTAAATGAACAAATTCCATTTATTTCATATACCCTTATTAATCTTTTTTTTTTATTCCGTGTGGCTTTTTGGCGTTGCCCGAGATTGCAGGAAGTAGTAGATTTTTTTAAAAAAGGCTGTTGATTACTCAGATTGACCTACACATTTATTAGAGTTACTTTGCTACTTTTATCCCACAACTTTTTTAATTAATTATTTTATACTTTGATTATTTTTTTTTCATTTATACTACTAATCATTTTTCTTCTAATAAATATTTATAACTTTTATTCATTGATGTGATTTGGTTGTACAATGTTATAAATTTATATTTAACTTTTTAAATTTTACTTTGTTATTATTATTTAATACCAATAAAACTTTTAGAATACAATTAATTATTATTAAATATTAGAATAATAAAATTTAAATATAGTTTTATACTAAAGATGGTTGTTCTAATATAAAAAATATTTTAGCTAATGTAATTTTATTTTAATTTCACTATTTATTAATATTAAATAAAATGATAATAAACATATTTCCTACCAATAATATCAGTAATAAAATGAATTAAAAATTATTATTATTTTAATTAAAAATCAGCACAATAATTTATTTGTAATTAGCCATAAATAAGAAAATATATATTAATAATTTTTATATATCTGATTTCGATTCTAAACAGTTTTAATAAATAATATCAAATAATTATGATTCCGATTCTATAAAATTTCTAGTAAACCACCTAAATAGTATTTCATTCTAATTGATTTGATTCCAATTCATGTTTCAAAATGGCCCAAATTTATTTTTAGTAAAAAATAAAACATTACTTTACCATCTTATTCCGCTCCTCATTGCCCCAATTACTCCAAAAACTATCACCTCGCTTTCCCTCTTACTCTCTCTCCTATCCCTTCCTCTCTTGCAACCAAGTGGCACAAGAAGAGGCAGCACGTCGACGAACTCCGACGACTCACACGACGATCATTCACGAACGACAGTGATACAAATTACTTTTCCATCGAACGTCGGTGAACTCTCTATGCAGATCGTCACCTCGATTGAGTCACTATATCTTAACGTCAGTAAAGTTCACAATCATACATCTAACATAAACAAGTTAATTACGGACTTGTTTGATTGACAATCCGGACTATATTTCTTGCTTTCAGATTTACTAAATTAATTGAAAATTATTTTTGCATTCAACGATTCAACAGTGTAAATTATGGAAACAATATCTTTTTTAATTTCATTGTTTTCATATTTTGAATCTTAAAATTTAAAATGCATAATTATATTCAAAAGGATAAAAATTTTGATAAATATAATAAACTTAATCTCATTCTTGTTAACATTAAAATAGGTAAAATTTAATATATTATAAATTATATGATAGAATAATGGTACAAACTTTATAGTATTTATGTTTATAAATTAGTTAATAATATTTTAGATTGAAATAAATATTTAACTGGTATCTGATCACGGAAATATATTACAAAAAGTTTGGACATTTTTTTAAATTGAGAATCTTAAAATCTGCTACCGGTAGCAGCACAAATTATCTTATTAAAATGGTGAGTGTAAAAACAATTTTTGATATTGATATTTCCACAAAAGAAGCGTCCTTTTTACAAAATAATCAGATTCTAATTTTGTACTTCCAAAATAGGTCATTTATTTGAACCCAATATCCGACATTTTGTCTTCTCTCTAGGGTTTTGGGGTTTCGCGGGACGAAATTGAAAATGCATCTTACTCTTGAATTCGGGTAACTCTCTATCTCTAGATTTTATGTTCACGTTGCCTGTTGAATTTTAGTTGGAAGAAAAATTTCCCAGTTGCTTGTGGTTGTTTGTTTAGTGAGATAAGTGGAAAAATTAGTGATACTGGAACTTAGAATTTAAATAAATTCTGATTTCCCGGAAAATCAGTTGTCGCATTCTTTCGTTTTTCATGTATTGCCCAGATCATAAACTTGAATTGTTTTTTCTGAATTTGAGCGAACTCTTAAGTCCATGAACTTTAGGTTTGTATTTATTAACGAGATATTGCTGTTGGCGGGATATTTTTCGTGGGCTGGCTCTGAAGGGAGTAAAAGATCGACTATTGGATATTCTTTTATTGTTTAGTAGTGCTATAATTTACAATTTGCAGCTCGGTAATCATATTGGAACTCACTGAAAATTTTGCTTGAACATTCAGTTGCTTCCTTGTCTCCATTTTGAAAGCATTATGATTTTATTCATTTGATTAACATATTTTTTGAAGCATGCTCAACTTTCTAAACTATGATCAATTGTTACTTCAATGGATTTGATAGATCATAACGCTAGAACCTTGTCACTTCTCTAAAGTTGATTCATGATCGTCGTCGAATTTGAATCATGTGTAGTATTTGATACAACCATTATATAATTGAAAGAAATAATCGCATTTGTTGTTTCAACAATTCCATACCACCAGCGTTTGGTGGCAACTTTTGGTCTCATGTACTGTCGACAGTGCTTGCAATTTTTTTTCCATCAATACCCTCTATTTCCTCCTCCCACTAAAACCAAAAAAAAAAAAAAGGGAAGGAAAAAACTGTGGCAGTATCTTGAGTAGCTTCTTCTGCAAATATGATAGGCCCCAAATATATTCTAGAAAGAGAGGACGAGGGGGATAGCAGCTGATGTATGTGGGTTGTGAGGAAATTCTGTTGTTAGAGCAGTAGGGTGCAAGTTAGTTAGATGGGCAAATATAGGACTTAGTAGTATAGGGTATATTTTGGCTCGGGGGATGAGGGCAGGGTATCTTTTTGCTAGTTTTGGGAAAGAGTTAGTGTGAAGAGAATAGGAAGCTCTCAAAATCTTCTTTGACCCTTTAATTCCTCTCTGATTGTAAATAACAGAATCGAGGTTCTATCACAATATTTGGAATGATACTGTGAAGATTCTCCCTCACATTTTGATATCCAAAACAAGTTCGATTTCAACAAGATACTCCGGTCTATTGGAGAGGGTTGGTACTCTCCCCACAAGTCAAGACTAGACTTTACATGATCCAAAATCATACCCCCACTAACTTAAGACACAAAATAAATACTAACTTCCCGACCAACAAAAGATAAAGGTTAACTTGCTAAAAACCGCTCTCCCCCTGTTTTGCTTACTCATATAGGTCTGCTTAATCAGGGGCCTCACATCACCCCTGTTTCAAAGACATCTTGTCCTCAAGGTGGAAATATGGGAATTGTCACTGAAAATATGCTACATTCTCCCAAGTAGCCTCGCCTTCATCCATATTCTTCCACTGAACTAGGACCTCCAATTCTCCCGTGCTCTCATTCGATCGTGTTGCAAAGACGTGTGTTCAATCACCCACTCGAAGTCCACTGTTAGATTTGGCACGATAGGAAAGACTGTTGTGGTGTCTCCAACGACCTTCTTAAATTGGGAGACATGGAGTACTGAGTGAATTGAAGTATCCTCTGATAGTGCTGGCTTGTAAGCTACCTTGCCTATGTGTTCTATGATGTTGTAGGGATTGAAAAATGGGAGTTAGCTTCTCATTGCAGCGCTTGGCTAGGGGTCTTTGTCTATAAGGCCTCAAGCCCTCAGCTTTAGGTAGACCTTTTCACCCACTTCAAATTCCACTTTCCTGCAATGGCGATCTGCAAACTTCTTTACTTGATTTCAAGATTGATTGATGTGTTCCTTAAGTTTATCTAGAGACCTATCTCTTTTTCCCAGGGTGAAACGCGCAAGCAGGTTTCCCTCCTTCAAGGGACTGAATCGTTAAAAAATCCTTGGCTTTAGATTGTTCCAATTGGTAAATTGCTATCGGTTGTTTGTCCGCCAGTACCAGACTGGAGCAATGCTGTCAAGGCTGATCACTGAAATGGTCGTCTTCTCGGATTTTGTTAGGCGGTGAATATCGTAATACGTTTCAGCACGAAAAAGCCACCAAACTGGATCTTCCCCTGTGAAAATGGGCATCTCTACCTTTTTGAACTTGTTGCGATCCAAGTTGTGTTCACCTGCTTTCTTCGGGTAGGATTAGGACTCCTCTTGTCGTTCCTGACCATCTTCCGGTTTCTTCCTTTTCACGGTGGACCCTTCGTTGTTGACATGCTCTCAACATGGGCTCCTTCCTTGAGTAACTTTTGCGATGAACAACTCTAGTGCCTTCTACGACCCTTGCTCGCCCTCTTCTGTTCCTCCATTTGAGAGTTGATGAGCAACCGTGCCTCCTTGATGCCACAGACCTCCTTGGTGGACTCACACCTTTCCTCCAGTTGTTTCTTTTTAGCTATCTTGCTTGGGTTGTCCAGGATGAGGATGAACTTGCTCTGATACCAATTTGTGAGGAATCTTCCTCATGTTTTGATATCCAGAATAAGTTCGATCACAACAAGAGACTCCAGCCTATTTGAGGAGGCTGGTACTCTCCCTTCAAGTCAAGACCAGACTTTTGCAAGATCCAAAAACATACCCCCCACTGACCTAAGACGCAAAATAAATACTAACTTCTCAACTAACAAAATATAAAAGGTCAACTTGCTAAAAACGGCTAACTGTCAGGAGGGGAAGAGTTCTCCCTGTTTCCCTTCCTCATATAGGTCTGCTTATTTGGGGCCTCACAGATACTTTCATATGCTTCTAGGTTGCATCTTAATTGAATTTTTTTTTCAGTGTAAAGGGTGAAAGGGGAAAAATTACCATTAAAGATACATTTACTAAGTATGTCATTTGTTAGGTTTTGTTTTTCCAGCTACCATCCATAGGATGGACATGACAATAGTATTAGCCTTTAAATGCAGTGGGGGATTGGAGCTCCTATGCAACTCTGTGAAGATTCATAATGTCAGTATCGATCCTGAAAATGGAGCAGGAAAAGTAAGCTATTATTTCCAACAAATTAATGAAATATCCTACTGGATGTCGTTTATCAAGTGAGTCTCATGTGTTTTTTTTTAAAATGCATCTCAGTTAATCATGAAAGATTTGCTCTCTTGGGTTCGTACTAATCTGATCAAGGAGCGACCAGAAATGTTTATGAAAGGCGACACTGTGTAAGTAAAAGGAACATCTCATTATTTTTCTCTCTCTTTTGTATTGTTAAACAAGTTTGAAGATAAGATATACATATAGTTATGAAGACTACATTTATGAAGAATTTGGTATATTTTTCACCACGAAATTTAAAAAACAACAAAGTTTTAAAATTATTTGTTTGAGTTTTCAAATTTCGGCTTAGATTTTGAAAACTTGTTTTGAAGGTAGATGACAAAACGAAGAAACACATAGGCCGTAGTAGTGTTTATAAGCTTAGTTCTAAAAACAGAAAACAAAAAACAAACTAGTTATCAAATGAGATCTAAGTTGTTAGCTAAACGGTGTAACGGTTTTAAATTTCCTGCAGGAGACCTGGTGTTCTGGTGCTTGTAAATGATTGTGATTGGGAACTTAGTGGGCAGCTTGACACACCATTGGAAGAGAAGGACGTGGTAGTGTTCATATCCACATTGCATGGAGGATAATAACTTGATCAGGAATATGTATTTTCCAGGTTGTATCTACATAATAGTTGTCTGAGATAATCTAGAACTTGGACATTTTAACCTTAAAAATCCGTCTCTGTTTTTCCTGAAATTTGTCCGACTATATGACAACATGGGCATTGTTTGTTGCCCTAGAATATATATACATAGTAATCTTCATGAGATTTTGCTCTGACGAGACTTGAGAAGTTGAGATCAATGTTTATGTTGAATAACTGGTGAGGGGAAAAGAAAAGCTGAGTTATAATTAAGTTCTTATTGTCTCAAAAGCTTCATTTTGATTATTGTCTCAAAAGTTTCATTTTGATTCTTGAGCTTTTAAATTGTCTAAATGAATTATTTGAACATTCATGAGGTTACAAATGCAAATGCCTTCATTGGTCATAATTGTCTACAAGATCATTTGTTCGTTCTTTTGGTCATAAGCATTGTATTCGTTCGTAATAGTACGAATGAATACATATAGTAAATTATATATATATACAGGTTGTGGGTTCATATGGGGTTCAAAAATTTCCAGAAAAATCCTTCACAGCTTGTCACCTACAATCCAGAACAAACTAATTTGCTTTTTCAATATAAATCTTGCTTATAATGCCACCTACTTGTAGCCAGTAGATAAAGTACATTTACGTAGTTCGACTTGGCTAATCATTTTACAAATGTCACCAAACTTCAAAATATAGGTACTACGAGTGAATAGGCACCGGTTGGTATTTCTGCCTTCCTTCTCATTTTTGAGTCTACCAAAACTTCAAAATTTCCTCTCTTTTCTTAACAAGTATTCATGAGTGTTTACGTCAGCTTGCATGCATTCCGCCTAGTATCAACTAGACAATTCTACTTTATTTTTGTTTGAAAAAGAATCTTACTCCATCTTGTTGTTAAGAAAATTCATAAGTTATTAAATCTTAGGAAAGGTAATATGGTTGAACTCATTCCTTGTGAAACCTCTGCTTTTTCATTGACCTTTATTGATCACTAGGTCAATCCATGAAGATTTCAGTTATTGTGGATAAGAGAACAACAACTTCAAAAAAAATATAATCAAGTTATGTTTTCAAGACTGTTATTGAACAATCCTTAGCGCCTTCTCCATTTAGAACTGAGAACTCAACGCGATGCCAGACATGATAAACGCTATTAATTTTTAATTTGAGGTATCGCCATAGGAAATATGAACTACTTGCTTAACTTGAAGAGAACAGACTGAATCTCCATATATTAGTACAAATACCTACAGACTTAACCGAGGAGAGATTAGAGAGTGTCTTATCACTCTTCTCTAGTACTTGATCTTGGTTAGTCAAATGCTACAGAAAAAGAGAGAGAGAAAAACGGGTGCTCTTTGAATGTAAGCTTTTGGGCTCAACAAATGGGCCATATACTAAAGGACCCAACAGTTCCTATAATTTCTGTTGTTGTTGGGCTGGATGTAAATAGTTGATTATGAGAGGGACAATTAGGTAATTTGGACCCCACTTTGGATGAGTTCATGTGTTGAGGAGGACTGAAATGTTTGATATTTAGAATAAGAGAGAAATAAATGAAACCAGTGTGAGTTAATTGACAACTGTATCTGACCACTTATTTATTATACTAAAAAAAAAAAAAAGAAAAAAAAAGAGAAACAAATGAAGAAGGTAGAAACGAAGTGTGAAGGAGGAGAAGTGACGACAGTGAAAGGACGAGCAATCAAAGGTGGAGTAAAATAGCATGCAAACTTGGAAACGTATCTAAAAGGTAACTACCCGCTCTTTTTTAGTACAACATGTGGAGGGTGAGAGATCGAACTCACAATCTATTTATTGGAGACCTATGCCAATTATCGTTAAACTATAATCGCTTTGACGGCAAGTTCAAGTTCAAGGTTAACCAATGATGCATACATGAAACACGTAAAATCATATGATATTAATGACTAAACACATCATGATTTTCCTGACAGTGTCGGTCAAACATCTGGGTGCTATCATGTAGCTAGATAATCTGTCAGCATCATAATTTACATTAAAAACACATGATTATGATGAAATCGTATAAGTAGGAGACAACTTTATATCTAAATCGTGATTTTCGACTTGTCATTCTCGTGTGATTCATGTATCTAATATTTGTAATTAGTTCTAATATACCCCCTTTTGTAATAAAATTAAAAGAGATAATTTATGAAAAGGAAAATCCATAAAATAAAACAAAGATGGATGAGAAGTTCCAACGCCGACGCATTGGCATTTTTCTCAAGTCCCTTTTTTGGCACTTTCCCCAAGTCTTGTCTTCTTCCATGAGATTCATAATCTACAAAATTTTGCTCCAAAAACAAAATGGCTCATCTTTTATTTTGAAGTTGGATTGACTTGTTAATCTAATATAATTTCTATTAGATTGGTAGTGGAAAAAAATCACGATCTAAAACTCAACGTAATTGTATTTACAATGGTGACAATAATATGATATATTTTAGTAATATAACAAAAGATTCACAAGCATCCAAAAGGAAAAAGGTAAAAGGCATATTCTCTTGATGTTAAAATTAGCACTAAAGAGAAAAAGTTTGAGTGCCATTTTGTTTTGTTCTTGTTGTTGGGATGAACTTAGGCTACACTTTTTGCAGGCTAAACTAAACAATGTTTAAAATAATTGAATTGAATTAATTAGTGCATTAATTTTTTTGCAACTTTTTCAGTGCAAAGGCAAAGTTACAGATGTTTGAACCAAACTCCCACTCACATGAGGCTTTGTTTCCTAGTGGAAATTCTAGTCATGCCCACCAAATTTCCCCATTGACTCTTTTTAAAATATTCTCAATATAATTCCCTTTTATTAATTCATTTGTCTTTGATAAATTAATTAATATGTTTGGCACAGCATGAGAACCACTTTTATATCCTTCAATGCATGAGAGAACTCAATTGATCTCTAAATTAAGCTCATAAAAAGCATTAGGCCTTAACTTAACTTCTAAAAACCTCACTCCAAGCTTTAATAGATAATAGACAAGTAAGGACATAATTGAACTATACTCAATCATCCTAACCGACCATGTTCAAGTCGACTCGATCAATTCAGTGTCAATTAACTTAGGAGTCGATCTTGAAATATGATACCTCCTCAATTTATTCAACGATTAATGGGAATAAATAAGACTCCCTCTATTTTCACGGTCATACTCTTTGTTATGCTCAACTTTACTCGGTATCTGATTTAGATAATGGAGTGTGTTGGTCTTAGAACCACACTATTTTTACAAATATTCCTGTTTGTGCATGTGTTCAATTTTTTTTTAAGTTACCAATTTAATATATGTTAAATTATTACTATTATTATTTGTTATTTTGATATCTATGAGTGTTCGAATCAACTTACGCGTAGCTCAACCCGTCTCCGTTTGACCCTACTACATTTGGTTGTTAGAGAAACTCATAAAATATTCTAATTAGTTAACTACCATAGTTTGAACTTATTGATTCTAGTTTTATGCTTATCAAATTTATGACCTTTTACTAAAACAAAAAATAAAGTAAGTGAACTTTAAAAAGCATTCATTAGATGCCAACCCTTTTAATTTTGTATCTAATAAGCATAAGAATTTATCTAATAAATTCATAAATTTCAATTAAAAAAAAAGGTAAAATAGGTGCAAGACATACATATATAAAATTTGACTTATTATACACTTCTCAAAATTTAGAAATCTATCTTATATTAATCTAAAAAATACGGGGCTAAAACATTAAATACAAAGTGGTATATTATTATGAGTTAACTCATCTATCTGACAGTATGACGGTAATTGACATATATCTCTAATCAAGAAGTTATGAGCTTGATCTTCTACCTCCACATGTTATAATAAAAAAACCTCATATATTTGAACTAATTAAGATATTATACATCTGTCTTGTGTTAAATATTAGATGTTTGAATCTTTAGGAAGGAAACCTCGAGCTCTTATTGGTCACAGGTTGAGAACGAGAATTGAATTTTATGAAACCTAATTTTCTGTTGTTCCTCAGTAGCTCAGTGGTAGAGCGGTTGGCTATTAACCAATTGGTTGTAGGTTTGAATCCTACTCGACGGTGTCGACAATGAAGTGTATTGAGCTTAGAACCACACTATTTTACCGATATTTTTGCGTGTACATGGTTTTATTTGAAGCTTCTTATATTGTAATCGAAATCCAAATTCTACAACAAAACTATTTCACAAAATTTAAAAGGTGTAATTGTATGTTTTGAAAACGCATTACCAAATATATATAAATGTGAGAACTTGTTAGGCAATTAATCGCCAAATCCAAACATATATACACGTTTCTACTATAAGAAATTATGACCAACAAATATTTTATTTCATTGTTACTTCTTTTTTTAAGTTACTTGTTTAATAAATGTTAAATTATTATTACTATTGTTATAATATTGATATGAATGTTCGAGTCAATTGACGTACAGCTCGACTAGCTTTACTGAACAACTGTTTGACCATACTCCATTTGGTTATCAAGAAAACTTATAGAATATTCTAGGTAGATGGTCACTATAGTTTGAACTTATTAATTTAAATTATAAATTTTGTCTCCAAAGTTTTTTTACTTTTACGTCTATTAAGTTTCTGGCTTTTTACTAAAACAAAAAAGTTAGTAAACTTTAAGAAGTATTTTTTAATTTTGTGTCTAATAAATATCTAAATTTGTCGAATAGGTCTATAAATTTTCAATTAAAAAAAAAAATCAAATAGGTGAGAGACTTATTAAACATATCCTATAGAAAATTTGACTTATTATACGTTTGTTTAAAATTAGAGACGTATGATACACCAATTTGAAAATTACGGGGTAAATTTGTAATTTTAACAATGGTTGGAGACTATGAAGAAAAACCAAAGTTTGCCAGCTATAATTTAATGTCTAATAAACTTTAAATGAGAGAGGAAATTAAAAATAGGAAAAAACTAAAAACTAAAAACTGTCACGAGTAACTGTTTCCTTCCATCTCTCACTCTCATCTCCTTCTGATTTTGATATATTTTTCTCTTTTTTATCATTAAATAATAAATAATGAATGAAAATAGAAACACTACATACAAATTAGTATATTATTATGAGTTAACTCATATAAATTAAAAGTTGCTCTAGTTTTTCAGCCGAGAATCTTGAACATTGTCCAAAGACGTGTTGTAGGAGTAACCCACTACATTCTAGGTAGAATTGCCATAACATGGACGTTCTTTTTACCAAGAATTATTGCAGTCGATAATGACTAGGAGGATTTGAAAGACATTATGACACTAAGATTTCCAAGGTTTAGTCAAGGCTTAGCTCAAGATCCTGCTACCTGCCATATTTGGTTTGATAAGTAATTAAAATATTATACATTTGTCTTTGAATCTCAAATCACATTGTTGAATTTTTTTTTATTTTTCTCATTTTGGCTTCATTATAGAAGGGAGTCATGACACTGATTTTATATGTTAAGAGGTTCTTTAGAACATGAACCTAATTTATATTTTGGCTTCATTATACATTTTGGCTTTCCACACAATTTTCTTTAATAATTTATATTTCCTAAATTTACATTTCCAACACAATTTTATTTTTAAACCTTCCACTTCAACTACAAACTTATTAAATATAAGCTTAAAGTTAAGACTAGGATTTGTACCAAAAATGCCTTCTATTGTGGTCTCTCTACTTTTTGTTTTAGTTTGGTCTATTTTTAAGATGTCTATTATGATTTTGGTATTTTCGACTTTTTGTTCATTTTAGTTATTGTACTTGTAAAACGTTCATTTTGATCCTGTAATTTTAGAAAAGGTATCATGAAACTTTAACACAAATTTTATACATTAAAAGAACCCTTTAATTCAAATTTATGATTACATTTCAAGAAATTTAGTGAGTATACAAAAATGTGATGGAAATAAATGAGATAAAAATAAAAAATAATGGACTAAAAATGGTTTATTTTTTAAAGTACAGATATCTTCCTGAAATTACATGGACCAAAATAAACAAAAATTAAAAGTATAAAAATCAAAATAGACGATTTGAAAATCAAAAGAGAATTTAAACCTAAACTCTAATAATCTAGGTTAATAATTAATCATAATTGAAATTGTTTGAAGTAGATTCAAAGAATAGAATGAAATCCAGACCCACATGAATAACATATCCAAACATATCCCTATCCTTATCCGAAATTTGCGGCTCCCTTTTAGGGCTTCATTATTTCCAATACCAAACAGCACTGTTTATTTCAACCATCTTAAATAAAAAGCTACCAATTACTTGATTTTCAAGTTTACTTTTTTTTTTTTTAGTAATTGAATCTAATCTTAGCTCCAATTCTTTTTCAAGTAATTTCACTTTAATAACAAAAAAAAAAAAAAATTAAAGTTAAATTACAAATTGGCTAGCCTCTCACAATGTTTGGGTTCTTATGATTTTAATGTCTTTACCAAATTGACCATTTTTTTTATGTGGTCGTGAGTTTATGTTTTTTTATTTAGATAATTGTGTTAACGGATTGCATTAGGATTTATAATTGAGCAAAAAAATAAAAGGAAATATGTAGATTTTTCGAGTAGGCAAAATACTATTTATAAGCTACGTGTGAGATTTAACCAAACTATAGGAATGAAATCAAAACTAAACCAAAACTATATGGATTATATTGAAACTTTTAAAATTACAGGATCAAATTGTAACTATACCTACATCAAATATCAAATTTGCAATTTAACTAAAAGAATAATATATATTTTTTTCGCAAAGGTAAATAATATTTAGGTTTAACTCCTAGTTTGATTTGATATCAAAATTTCTCCTTTCTTTGTACTTCTTTATAAAATATTTTATTTTGATTTTTGAATTTTGTGTTATGTGGCCTAATTATGCTTGAAAAATATCATCTAACAATATGTTTAATGGTAATAAGAGTGATGGTCATATATAGTAACTCTCTTTTTCAACAAACTTTCCTGAATTATGATTTGTTAAACTAAAATAAAATTAAATATTTAAAAATATTTTTTAAAAACTACCTAAATCATAATCATAGATCGTAATCAACTATAATTGAGAAGATATAAATATAACTTTTACACCTTATTAAAGTTTTCTTTCTTTTTTTGACCAACACTTTATTAAAGCAACTTAATCATGAGTTTGGATTTTTATTTTTATTTTGAAAACTCATACATGTGTATTAGATCCCTAATTCTCTTAATTAACTCACTTCATGGTAATAAATATCATAGTCAAACTCTTAAATGTACATGTTAAAATACTATATAGAGTCAAAAAATATTATTTTAATAGTTTTATCTTAAATATTATAAAAAAATTGAAGCTCAACCTTTGGAAAAAACTTATAACTTAAAAGAGAAAAGTCATTGGCGATACAAAATAATAATAATAATAATAATAACTAACAAATTATATTAATTGAGTTACAAATCTTTGTTTTCTATAAAAACATAAATAAATATCTCTATTTCTATGAATTTGTCAAAGATTTAATAATGGTTAACGTCAACACCTGATTTTTTTTTAAAAAAAAAAACATCAAACATCTAAGTATTTGTTGGATTAAAATTGAGATTAAATTACAAATTTGATAATAAATCTCCAAACTTTAAAAAGTGTTTAATAGGTCCATAAACTGACAGAGCGAACAGCGGTAATTGGCATATACAGTTAAAAAGTTCCCGAACCTCCAATTTTGTATCCTAACGATAGTCTAAGTTTGGATTTCTCAATCTCTTTGCAAACATAACAATCAATTTTTTATAAACATAGAAATCTATCATCAAATTCAATAATCAAATACGGTATTTTATTAGAAAATAAAAAAGTGGATTAAAAAAAAAAAACCAATTTGGTATAATTATGGTGGACATGTGTGGGCGATGAGTGGCAGCGAGAATGGGAGCCGAATGTCTCATTTAACAACCCATTAACTATAATTAGAATATGCGTCTTTGCAGTTGCCTTTTTATTATTATAATTATTCTCATAATTCTTAATCTCATGTTTTTTTTTCTTTTAAATAATGACAAAATTGAAAACCAACGTATTATTGATCAATTTCGATCAAAATGGCCAACTTCAAGCGATTTTTATTTGTCGTACTAAAAAAAACGTTTATTTTTTTCAAGGTTGAAGTTTAAATTCTGATGTTAATATTTTGAACAAATAATTGATGCGGTAGAATCTAGAACAATACAACGAGTGAAAATTTACATGAATTAAATTTGAAATAAATAAAAAATACAGAAGAACCTATCATTTTTAGAATGGGGATTAGGGACCAACCAACTATCGAGACACAAATGTCGTGAGTTCAAACCTCCAACCCTACATATTGTACTTAAAAAAATGATTAGAGCAAAATTGAGTAAACTATAGAAAAGCAAATTCTATTGACAATATAAAAGGAAGACTTCAACCCAAAATCATGTAGACAATCCAAATAAGCTTTCACATTAATTTTTGAAAGTATAAAAGTATTTTTGAAACAAATGATAATATATGTATAAAATTTAGCCTACAAATTATTTAAGAAAAAAGCGAGGAACTCTTTTGGTAGTACTAATATCAAGATTAGACAGCCCCAAGGAGTACTCCAGTTGAAAAGAACGTAAAGTCTCTTGGTCATACTGACTTATAGGTCTCTCATGTTCGGACCTTAGGACGGATGGGGTGCAGCCCTAATCCCATAGCTTTTAACCCCAAATTAGGTAACTAGACGCAAGGGAGGTCCACTTTCCACTTTCCAGCCTGTAAATAAATTAATTTACCCATTATTATTATTATTATTATTATTTTTAGTATTTCCACGGTCCGTGATGAGACGAGGGCATAAGGGTAATATCGTATTCACATGGAGGCCACTGCCCTCCCTTCCTTCCCCGTTCTCCCTTGTCTGTCATGGCGTGAGAGTTGTCGCTCTGCTGAAACCTCTCTCTCTCACCTCCGACAAACCACACCGAAACTGAAAAAGAGAACGAACGAAACTCTAGAGAGAGAGAAGAGAGAGAAGACTGATTTTCCGAATTTCCACATGGAAGACGAAGCAGAATGAGAAGAAACTCCACAATTTTCCGCAAAGCAATGCCTGACCACTCACCACTCCTCCGGTAATCAAACAAAAACAATCTCTCCATTCTCATCATTCATCAATATATGCATTTTTCTTTTTATTTACAAATATTTTCATGCTCATATTGCTGTGAAGCTGAAGTACAGAAGTAGTAATGGAGGAGAGCAGGTCGAGGCGTTGGAATTTATTGCTTTTTGACCTTTCGTATTCTACCTTTCAATGCTTTGTTACAGATTCGAATGCAGTTTAGTTTGTTTTCCTTTTCATTTTTTTTTTCCATTTTTCTGTCCATTTGTTTATTACGTTGCAAAAGTGAGTCGACGGAAGGAAATAGGATATACTAAAGAGTGGAGACGGCTTCGTTTTCTGGTTTTTTTAGTACTGTGAGTGATATGATGTTTTCGTGTAGTTTTCTGATTAGTATTTTTTTTTTTGGTTGTAGCCGACATGCATTCTGGTGAGTTTGGGCGCCGACGTTGAAGATCTTGCTCGTGGTCTTCTGATTTTGCTTCGTTTAAGTGCCGATTTCCTTGGCAATTGCTTCGTTTCTTTTACTTTTGAAGATCCGTTGCTTACGTCGAAGGTCTTGAGAATGTCAACCGCCTGAAGAACTACTTCAGTCTTTTGTAGCATCGTTGGAATCTAGTCGGTGGCGGTGCTTTAAAATTTCGTATTATTTGTTCGTCCGCTTCTGTTGTTTTGGGATTCGCGCCAGGAATTCTGAGTTCGGATTAAGGTTGAGATCATCCGGAAGCTTTGTCTTTGGGCTTTTGACTGTTGGGGAGTTGAAGGTTGATTGAGAGTTTTGAGAGGCAAATATGTCTTCGTGGGAAACGCTTGGTGAGATAGCGAATGTGGCCCAGCTTACGGGCATAGACGCAGTTCGTTTGATTTCCATGATAGTGAAATCGGCGAGCACTGCACGTATGCACAAAAAGAACTGCAGGCAATTTGCTCAGCATCTGAAGTTGATCGGAAACCTGCTGGAGCAGCTCAAGATCTCGGAGCTTAAGAGGTATCCTGAGACTCGGGAGCCTCTGGAGCAGCTCGAGGAGGCTTTAAGAAGATCATACATTTTGGTCAACAGCTGCCAGGACCGCAGCTATCTCTATCTGCTTGCCATGGGATGGAACATTGTATACCAATTCAGAAAGGCCCAGAATGAAATTGACAGATACCTTCGTCTTGTTCCTCTGATTACGCTTGTTGACAATGCTCGAGTCAGGGTATTTGATTCTATTCTTTTTCTCAAGTGATATTATTTATTTGTGCTATGGGGTCTCGAAAGATGCAGTTCCACAGCATTGGCCTATGCATGCTGACCTTCTTGATCGTTTTTGGATGTTTTTTGCTTTTATGATGTTTCAAACGTGGAACTTAAAAAAAGTGAAATTTACTGGATGTTTGTTAAGCTTTGGAAATTAAAACCTGTCATTGAAGAATAACTAAGGAAAATCTAATTCTGCAGTATTCTTATCAGTTGAATTTGAATGGTTCATTCAACTTACGGCTCCTGATATTTTCTCCAAATTGGTCAAGTTTTTTCATAGAACCTCTGTACCGACTGTTTGATTTATTTATTTTGCTCGAGACATTCGTATGCACGGAGTCTTGCTTATTTGATAACTGAATCTGATTAACTTCAAATTCTCAGGAGCGACTGGAAGATATTGAGAAGGATCAGCGTGAATATACCTTGGATGACGATGACAAAAGGATTCATGAAGTAATTCTGAACCCAGAACCTTCAAAAGATGAGGCAATGGCGTTGAAGAAATCTCTTTCTTGTTCTTACCCAAACTTGCCTTTTAACAAAGCACTACAAAAGGAAAATGAAAAGCTTCAGCTAGAACTGCAGCGGTCTCAAGCTCATCTGAACGTCGGTGAATGTGAAGTTATTCAACGTTTAATAGATGTCACTGAAGCTGTAGCTGCAAGTTCTATTCATGAGAAGAGTTCACCTGATAAAGCCCATAAAGTAGTGGAAAATACTTACGTAGATGCCAACAATGCACATTCATCTGATGAAAGTTATTATAAGAATACTGATACTCGGACAACCTCAAGGTCTGCTATTTTCTGTTTTCAGCATTTCAATAACAAGGTTCAAAATCATAATTACGAAACTAAGGATCTCCTAGGAGTTAATTTTATGTTCAAAGATGCAAGGATCCTAAATAGTTGAGTGTTCTGTAAATTTTCCAAATCACAAAGACACTAAAAGTTTTTTCTGTGTTTTGCTATTTGTTGTTCTGGAAACTGTTTGTAATAATTCTCCGGTTAAGAGTTTTCTCTTTTAATTTTTAATTTTTAAAATTTTAAAATAGAACACAGTTTTTAAACATTACTTCCAAATTGTCCCATAAATTTCTACATCATGTACAACTTCTGTGTGCGTGTCATATATTATCAACCTACATGGTTCTTTGAATTTGATGTTTTTTTTTTAATTTAATTTAATTTTATTGGTTGCAGAAAAAGTTCTTCCATTTCATCAGGACACGATCTGCTCTCGACCAGAGGTTCTGATCGGTATGGCGAATGGCACACTGACTTACTTGATTGTTGTTCAGAACCTTCTCTGTGTATGTTATCCTCTTCAGTCTTCACTTCTAATTTTAAAAGGTCTATTGAGATTGATTTCTCTTGAATGAAGGGTGGGTTCTAAAGGCAATGTGCTTGGTTGACTTGGCATAATTTACATTCTATAAATGACCCAATTGATGAATTTGACATCAAAGCTTAAGTGCTTGAACTAATGCTTTCAGCTTTTATCAAATATTTAAATCCGAGAGACTCGAGTCTAGCAGACTGATGGTGCTCAAAAACTGTGTTCTCTTCCTTTAATTGCGATGTCTTGATGCAATCAAATAACTATGCTTGTAATTTATATGCTAGATCCTGAAGATTTTCTTGGTGTGTCATATGCTAACTAATCATATTACTCTATTCCAGGTCTTAAGACTTTGTTCTACCCTTGTGGGACTTTTTCAAGGATTGCTACTGTTGCAACTAATAGGCAAACATGTGAGTTAGTTTTTTGTATTCAGATTTCCATAACGAATTAGAATTAGAACAAATATTTCCTACCTAAACTTTTCTTGAAAGGGTCTATTTGACTTAACCATCAGCACCAGCAGAAGCATGTAATGATTTGATGGCATATACTTTGATACTATCGTGCTGTTGCTACACTTGCTGTGTCAGAAGAAAGCTTCGCAAGATGTTGAACATCACGGTAGTTCTCTTTTTTGCTCGATTGGTCTAAATCGTCAGTTCACTTGTGTATTAGCGGGATGTTTCTCTTGTTTTATCCTTCTATTTTATTATGGGATAAATTATAAGTTTAGACCTGGACTTTTATTTAGGGACTTAAAAGATGTCTAATAAATCAGAGATTTATCTTATACAATTTGAAAGTATTAGATACTTTAAAAGCTACAAATTTGGTTTACAGATGTTTAACTTCTACAAACCCGGACATTGATTGTTACCGTAGACACTAGCTTCGGTAGTATGCATTATTGTCAATCAATGAGATTATTTGTGCCATACTATCTCCATAAAGAGCTGACTGAAATCTGTGTTTGGCAATTGGCAGGGAGGTTTTGTTGATGACTTTCTCTCCCATCTTATGTGCTGCTGCTGTGCCCTGGTCCAAGAATGGCGAGAAGTCGAGATACGTGGGGTTTATGGTATGTACTTCGCTGCTCGAATCTTTCACCAACAACAATTCTCTTTTACATTGCAAATAAGACCTTGAACTTACTGTAAATTTTGGAAGAATCTCGGGTGTTTGATATAAAAAGCCAACGTGCAGGTCCTGAAAAGACCAAAACAAGCCCTCCACCCTCCCAATACATGGAATCCTGAAAACAGTCGGGGTCGATGCATATTCAATCGTCCCTCGTCCCTAGTTCCGAATAGTTTCGGTTCATGATAGCGTTATGTAATGGATACAGGTAAATCTAGTTGGCATGTAACTGGAAGCTTACATTGGCATGTTTTATATTATTACTATATACCAACCCCCTCTGTAAAGTTGACGTTGCATCCTGCATAGCTGTATCATAGATTTGTTCTAAATCTCTTAACAGTGTTTCCAGTTTAGTTATGTCTAGAAAATTGGAATTTACAGTTTGTAGAACTATTATTGTTCATATTCTTTTTCCATTCGATTTTAAGTTTCGTATTGTTGTTGTAGTGTTTTCTTTTACCTTGGAGAAATTGGTAATATTTTGGGATCAAATTCATACGCGTTTTGATTTTTAGACTTATCTAAATTTTATTTGATCAATTATAGGTAAATGTATTGTTTAGATTTAAATACTATTTTGATTCTTGTAATTTTGACTCTGGCTCATTTTGATCTTTAATTTTCAAAACGTCTATTTTAATCTTCACTCTCTCCAATTTTGTTCATTTTAATCTTTAATTTTAATCTTTGTATTCTCAAAATGTTTGCTTTGGTTAGGTTGAAGTTTCAAGTTTCCATCTCAATATGTCAAAACTAGCATAGTTCAGCGGTAATTGACACATATCTCATAACCTCAGGTTGTGAGTTCGAATTTCCTCCTTAACATGCCGTATTAAAAAATAAAAAGTGTCCACCTCAATACGCTCTAAAAAGGGTTTGGTTAGTCAAATTTATTGACTCACCCAATTTGTTAAATTAAAAGTTTAATTATTGAATTTTCAAGGTTATTTAATATGTTCATATACTTTCAAATATTCCAATAAATTTCTAAATTTTCAATTTTGTACATTACTAAAATTGAGTTTTTGAAATTTCAATATACATCTTAGGTCCATAATCTATTACTAAAAACGAGATTGTTACCGAACCAACATAATCTTCCTAAAATCTCCTTCTACGGATTGGAAACTTATGGTTAAAGTTGTAATTTAGCATTTATAATTTAACACAAAAATCCAAATATCCAAAACGAAAGTGTATAATAGCCGAAAGTATTTATAGATCGGCGCGTGCAGTACAAACTAATTTTCCATCATTCTTCATCATCATCCATCATCTTCATAAAATCATATTTCTCACTTTTCTTCGATTTTCTACAATCATGTCGTCGTCCAAGAAGATCATCCTCAAGAGCTCTGATGGCGAGCCTTTCGAAGTCGACGAGGCCGTGGCGCTCGAGTCCCAGACCATCCGCCACATGATCGAGGACGATTGCGCCGATAACGGCATCCCTCTCCCCAACGTCTCCAGCAAGATCTTGGCCAAGGTCATCGAGTATTGCCGCAAGCACGTCGACGCTTCCAACTCCGAGCCGCGCGCCTCTGAAGAAGACCTCAAGGCCTGGGACCGGGACTTCGTTAATGTTGATCAAGCTACTCTCTTCGATCTCATTCTGGTGATTCCTTTTTCGCGCTTTAGATCTCGTCGATTTTCTACGGTTTTCGATGTTTCTGATTGTTTTCTGTAGCCATCGACGCTGTACCGTTTGCCTGTTTGGTGCGATTTAGTTGTTTAGGGTTTTGAATCTTTGATTCGGAACGGAAATTTTTAGGGCTCTCGCTTTGATTTCTTTGTCGCAGATGACTGTCCGTCGAGCGTTGAGTTCTTTTCCTTTCAAATCGTTTATTCTTCTTTATCTGTATCGGCGTTTGCAATTGGTTGCTGTTAGGGATCGGTAGGGAAAGTTCTGTAGCATTAAAGTTCTCTGTTGTAGTTATGCAAATATCAATTTCTATGGTGTCTATGAATCAATAGAGACATGTCCGTTGCACTTTGATGATTGAAGCTGGTGATGCAAAAGGTGGTGGTATCTTTATCTTTTGCGCTTCTTGCGGAGATTCGGATTAATGATATGATGCTAAAGACGTCTGTATATGTGGTTATGATTTCAGATTTCTTATTTTTTGGGGTGTTAGCACGGTTTCATATTGTCAAATGATTGTTGCTTAGGTTGAAAACGCACGTATATGCCTAAATTTAAGCCATATTCTTGTTTCAGAAATTTCAAGCTGCCTGGGGATTTTTTATTGTTGTCCATAGTTTCTTGATTTTGCCCCATATTATTAATTTGTTCTTTATGCTATCCTGCAGGCTGCAAATTATCTGAACATCAAGAACTTGTTAGACCTAACATGCCAGACTGTTGCTGATATGATCAAGGGGAAGACCCCAGAGGAGATCCGGAAGACCTTTAACATCAAGAACGACTTCACACCGGAGGAAGAGGAGGAAGTTCGCAGGGAGAATCAGTGGGCTTTTGAATGATTTTAAGCCTCATAAGAGTGATCAAAGATATTGATCTGTATGGCTGTACATAGTACTAGTAGCATGTATGCACTTCTTTTTAGTTCTTTTGGGTGTATTTAAGCACTGTGGTATTCACATTGAGTTTGAAATGGTACCTTTTGAACCTAATCATCATTGTATAATTTTTTTTCTAATGATCAATTCTGTGAGCAAAGCAGTGGTTACCTAGTTTCTGTTTGGACCTATGCTTTAATTATCTTGTCTCGTAATTGCAACTTTCGAGGGAAGGGGGGGAAGCTAGCCAGCCATTCGGGCTGACTTCCCACCCAAAGCCTCAAGTTCTTAATACCAAATATTACCAGGGAACCAGAAAGGTGTCTCTCTCATGGGGAAGGATCAAGTTCATCTGTTACAAATTTCAGCTTCGCAGTTCAAAGATATCAGAAAAGAGAGAGCAAGAAAAGGCCTCGACCTCCTCTACCGAAACTGTACAGGAAGAATGATGCTAGAATTGGTAACTCCGCAACTACTTGTTTCCTTACAGGCATTGACTTAGTGTACTGAATATGAGTAATATAACGCCTTTCTTATCTTTTGGTGCATCTCATGTTTTTTACTAATTTGAGGTGATCTGTATAATTCTCAGAAAAGAAAGTCTTTTCTTGTAGTTTATAACCATGATTCTGATTTGTATCCAATAGTCAAGGCATGTAGTAGGCAGTCTAATTAATTTTTGATGGGTGAGTTTCCTTTGAGTGTGGGTAATTAAAAAGTACTAAAGATTGGTGATTGATGCCAATGTTAAAGCTAATACAAAATCGACCCTAAAACCAACCAATAAGAGAGACATTGACTGCAGAAAATGTGACTGATTTTCTTATTGAAATGTGATGAAGTTTATTATGAGAAAGGTCAAGAGTAACTCTCCTGTTTAGGTGCCAACCGCTTTGTGCATGACTCTATGCAATCCTTCTTCTTCACCAATCTAACCACTCTTCCAACCCACGCAATATACCTGAACACCAAATTAGCCTCTTTTTTTCTCTCATCTCTTCCTCATTCCATTAAAAAGATCAACCTGAATTCTAACTCTCTTCATTGATTGCAAATGGTTTTCAACAGGGTGTTCTTCTTCTTCTACAACTTCATCGGCTTCCGAGGAAGGCCGAAACTCAAGCAAAAAACTCTGCTTCCTCACGGTGGCGATTCAACTCTCCGGCAGATGGTGGAGGATGAGTCCCGGATACCTGATTGTGTCACTCTTTCAAGCTCGGGGAAGGCGTTGGAGGGGGAGATGTGCTGCTGCGTGTGCTTGTCGAGTATAGAAGAAGGGATTGAAACGAGTGTTCTTCCTTGCTTGCACGAGTTTCACAAGGTATGTGTCGATCGGTGGTTTGAAGAGCGTCGGAGAACTTGTCCGATATGCCGGTACTCAATGGAAGGAGCAGGGCAGGGTAATGAAAATGGGACTCAGATTCTCACAGATGAGATGGTGATATGGTTTTCTTCTTTTCACACCTCTGGTTTCTAAGCCTTCATCAGGCTTTACAAAGATTTCTTTTGAGATGGCAACCAGGTAAAATTTCTGAGTTGACTAATGTCACTATTGAGTGTTCTACTTTTAGATTTGTTTTCTTCAAAAAATAAAGTTTGTTTGTACATAACTTAAAAAGTATTGGAACCATTCAAATTCATGTTGATATAAGGGTAGGGGGAGATCAATACTTAAAAAGTATTGCAGCTAGTAGAAGTGGTTTACCAACTACCAATTTCTTTGAACCCATTAGTGGTTGGTTATGACATCATCTTATGATGCTATATGTGGTTGTGGTTCATTAAGTTTCTATTTATTTATTTTTATTACGAGTATTTATGTACCTCGACTAATCCAACGTTACAACATTTGGTTGTTAACATAGGCATTCGTAGAATAAGCAATGAAGATCATGAGAGTTACTTCTCTTGTCGCATTTGTGACGTGAGCGTGTCTTTTTTCCTAAACTCAAGCATCCTAAATTTGCATCCCATATACAATTTTCCCTAACTTAAGCTTTCTAAATCTTCTATTTAAATCTCTGAGTTTGTTAAGCACATGCTTAAGATGTTGAATATGTGCCCAAAATGCTTTTTATGAGAGCATTTGTTTCACAAGTTTGGATTTTGAAAATCTCTACTTAAAGAAGTAGGTTTTGGAAACCTCCAATAGAGATTTCGTCCGATATATAATAATATCACGAAAAAATTAAATGTCATCTCCTACTTAATTTTTATTATTCTATTATTATTTTAAGTTGAACAAAGGGTAAGAGACCTGAACTTGTAATTTTTAGAAAGTAAGTTATCTCTTAATGGGTTGAACTAGCCGATCCCTTCAAGAGACAAACCACGACATTTCACATTTCTGGTTCGAAAAACGATAGATGTATTATATTTATAAAAATATGTTATTTTATTGTGTCAAAACATTGGGTTTGTTATTAACTTTTTTGAGGAGAAGGGCAAACTTTTTCCCCTTAGACATGAGAGGAAAAACAAAAAGAAAGGGATAGGAGAAGGACAATAATAGCACTACCTAACCGAAGAGTGACACAAGAAAAAGTTTTTGAGTTATATGACACATACACTATTTTCACTTGTTTCATATTTTCATATTTAAACGTCTCCCTTTTTTCTCTCTCCTCTTTTTCCCGACAAAGGTACGATGAAAAACTTTTGCTTAATTGGACTTTATTAGTTGAACTATTGTTCCCGAGTTAAATTTGTTCATCTTTTTGCTTTTGGTGGAGTTGGGGAAGTTTCGTCAATAAAACTCTAATATCATACCTGAGATGTTTGTCCCAAGATAAGTTTATAAAAATGACTACAATAAAATGTGATTGTCGCTCTCATAATAGTTTGATGTATGCTTCATCAAAATACACTTTTTAATATCACTATTATAAAATTGTTAACTACATTGAATAATCTGAAATCATAATAAGACGTAATTGTATTCTTTTTAATAAAAAAAAAATCGCAAGAAGGGAGTGATTAGATGACCTGTAAATTCTGATGTTAATTGATTTGTAGGTTTATGGTTTTTTAGACGTGCATAATCTCAAGAATAAGGGGGTGAGTTTCAAAAACCTAGATTTAATTATACAATCATAATTAGTGAGTTAAATGCATTTATTTGAACTAAATGGTAAAATAAATACTATAAGAAAATATGCATTTATTTTAATAGTTGAAGTTTTAAAAAAAGTGTACCCTCGTATGTTAAAATTACTTTAATATTAAACAACCATAAAATGTGTCCACTTGAACAATAACTCAACTGATTAAAATATACACGTTGTTGAACAAAAATTAAAAGGCTTAAAATGATCAAAGTAATTTTAGTACTTTCAAAAAAATTTATTTCCATGTTTATACTTTTAGCTTTTGTCCATTCTAGTCTCTATACTTTCAAGGTGTTCGATTTGGATTTCTGTTGTTTAAACAGAAATTAAAAAGACGACAAAAACCTTAAAAAAGGTCATTTATATACCTAATGAAACTAGGGTAAGATGCAAATAACTTGTTCACAAAACACCCACTAGGGTAAAAAAGTTCAATCTTTTGTAAGTTTTCAACATTTTTTTTCTCTCTCGACCCACTAAGATCCAAATCCAATTGGGTCAAATCAAATTGGAAAAAACACACCATTTGATGCCTTTGCAGACATGTGTGTATCTCATTCCTTTTTCCACCATGTAAAGTGCTCAATCCATTCAACTGTGTTCTCTTTCTTCTCTCCAACCAAATTCATTTTCTTAAAAGCCTCTCTCTGTGGATCAATGTCATTTCTTGCAGCAAATTCTTGTGTTTGTTTGTCCATGTTGACCCAAAATTGGTCTCATCTTCAAATATATTCCTTGGTTTTCCAATTGGTCCACCTTCAAATTATTGAGCTTTTCAATTCAATTATGTATATGGAAAAAGAAAGGAAACAAAGAAAAAAGAAACTCGCTTCTACGTCGTCGTGGAGGTTACACACAATCAAACCGTCCCAACTTTTGAGTTACAAATCGTTACACATATAACTCTTATATGTTGTAGCTTTCTTTGTGTTGGGTTTGATTCCAACCATTTTATGTGTTTCAGGTTGGAAAACACTTTATTTTGTCCTTGATGTAAAACTTTTTGTTAAGTTTTTTGTATATATAGATCGATGAAAGGGACCAAATTTGTTTATAAATCACCAAGACTAAATTGTTATAAGATAAAAATCGATACTTAATTTTGATCAGTTTTTTAGAATAGGTACCAGATTATAAAAAATTTTAAACTACGTACATAAACTAAATTATAAGTGTAGGGATTTAAATTATGTTAAAAAAAAGTGCAGGGATTTAAATTGTTACTAATTTGAAAATACAAAGTCAAATTATTATCGACTAAGGATGATAATGTATTTTTATTTACGTGAGGGATACGCAAGTAATTATATCATCATAATTAAGTGTTTCAATTATTTTAAGGGATTCGAACCAATTATTATTATTCTTTACATGTACTTGTTAGAGCTTAGCTCTTCCAATAAATTTTTTTATAGAAGTAAACAATTTTCGCAAAAAGTAAAATAATTATGGAACTACCGCTATCCAATTAATTAAAACTTCGTTTGATAATTATTTTATTTTTAGTTTTATATTTTTGAAAACTTAAGCTCGCGTGTCCACAACTTCTTTAGTGTTTTCCCAAAATACATTTAAGTTTCGAGCTAAATTTTAAAAACATAAAACATTATGGTTATCAAACTCGGCCTAAATTGTCAATCTAATCAAAATATTGTAGCTAGGCCAGATCTATCACATAACTAGGACCATCATTTGGGTCGGACAAAAGTTTATCCCATCCATCCAAAAACTTGTATTAAATTAAAAAAATGTCAGTTCATCCTATCATATATGTTATAATCCTAATTTTCAACCCACGAACGCCCCTAAAAAATATACAAAGGATGGGAAGAACAAAAATTGGGCATTGATTTGAAGTAACTTTTACAGAATAGTTTTTAGCCACATAATAGGATAACATGAATCTCTCATCTTTTTTCCTTTTTATCCTTTTTTACAGTCACTCTCATTGAGTATAGTAGAGTGATGAGCTAAGTGATTTAGCTTTATGGAGAAAAAAAGAAGAGCATAGAAGAATATGATGTGTAAAATGAAATAATGAAGTGAAAGAAAGGTTATAATATATTATATATTAAGCTTTGCAAAGAAATGTGATAGTGGTGGATAAGATTACAAAAGGACATAAATTGATAACCCTACAAAAGAAGAAGAAAGTGATGATATTGGTGGAAATTTGGTACAAAAAAGATGCAATTTTTTCTATGCCCTTTCCTTTTCTTCCCTCTAGATTCCCTTCCACAGTTCCTATGTGTCCATTGCAATTCCATTTCCCATGGTCCACCCTTTGGGTGAATTTTCATCCTTTCACCTTTTTTTTTCTTTCTTTTACAAAATTTAAAAATTAATACTTTACGACATGAGCATACGTCGACTGATTATTATGAAATTTCAAATCACCCCTTTTCTGAGGAGTAATACCTAATTTATAGCTTGATCGGCCAAGAATATAGTTCGATCTAGCCTTGCTAAGGATATAGCTTGACCATCTTATGGTGCGATCTGAGCTATACACACATTACAACTGCTATTGATCAACTCCCAACTATAACCACTATTGTTGAATTCTCTCCGACGTGCTAAGTGGTTGACTAAGTGGGACCCGCTCCTAAGTGTCTATAAATATCGAGCGTTCACTCATTATGCAAGTATTGCAGTTATGATTGAGATTAATACTGACTTGAGCAACGAAATGTCTATTCTTTTTGTGCGAGTCTTCCCCTTTGCATACTTTGCTCAATCATAGGTCGACCTTGCTTTGTTGTAGGTCTACTCGTTCCATCATTATTGATACAACATATTTGTTCTAATCACTCATTGAATGTTTGACTTACGATGATAATAATAATGTGATTTTTAAATTTGATTATTTATATGTTTGACGTGGGTTTTTTATTAGTGAAAATATGTAACCTCAAACAAATTTAAAAAAGAAAAAAAAAACCCAATGAAATGAGACGATAGTGTTATTTTTAAGCCTTTTGGAAAGGTTAGTTTAGTTGCTTCCTTAACTTTATCCAATTTTGATTTTTTCCAATTAAAATAATAATTTAACTTTTTCTTTGAAAGGGAAATATTATATTGACATATAATTTATTATATTTCATATATTTCTTTCATGGCTCTATATATTCTTAGTCTCGCCTTTTCCAATAAATCCTTGGCCTTAAACTTTAACTTAAAAGGTTAAAATATTTGAGGTGACACCTATTTAAGATATTAATAACTCGAACATATGTCAATAGTACGAAAACATCCATCGATAATTCTCTTAGAACGTTGTAATAAAAATTAATAATAACAGTAACTTTCATATCTAAGCTAAAATTTAGATGCATTCGAATCCTAAAAAGTAAACCGTCTATTATAGTCGAGACTTCAAATATTCATCGAACAAAGTTTGAGTTTCTCTAACAAATGATCTTCAGCAGTCAGCACAAGAAGGTTGAAAATTAGGTCTCTCTAATGTTAATGTTTCCTAAAACCAAAAGGGCATATGAAAGAATTAGGGTTCCATTCATCCCTTTACTTCACACCCAAAAAACAAAACACAGAGATTAATTTTTGAACTCTCAGATCAAAAGGGGCAACAAATTTCTCCCCTTTTTGCTACAAATTAAACTATAGAGAGCCCGCCTCCACCCCGACGCTTACTCAAAACGGCGCCGTTGATGTTCTCTGCAGCCTGTGTTTTCTGGGCACTTGGGCTGCTGCCGCTGCTCGTAACTGTAAACACACAGATTCAATTGTAACGAACGAATGTTGTTCTTAACCGTTTGGTAATGTTTCTTATTTCTTTCTTTTTTTTTTTCTTCGCTATCATTGTTATCAAATAATTTTAATTTCTAGAAAGGAAAAGAAGAGAGACAAAAAATAAGAATGTTGTTGAGATGACTCTATACGATTTAGTTTACCTCTTCTTGTTGTCTTCTCAACTTCGCATTCTCCTCCATCAAATGTGCCACTTCAAGCTCCAGCTCGTTAGTGTACGCCTGCTACATATATAATCTTTCAATTTTGAAAATTTTATAAGAAAATTATCCAGAAAATTTTAAAATACAAATTCGCTTTTTGTAATATAATTCTTTTGATTCCTCGCTGCCGTTGAATATTTGACAAAATGAAAATTATATTGACTAAAAAAAAGAAATTGTCAATTTTTCAATGGCACTTAAAACAGGCAAGGACAAAATATTTTTCATAATTAAGGGCGACCATTACTCCCTCCTTCCTTCCCTACTCTATTTGACCTGTTTTCGAGCTCGGGATCGGGCGGCGGATTCGCGGTTCTTGATCATGCGCTTCTGCCGCCGATCGCCGGAGTTAGCATGGCAATCGGAATCAGGGACCCTTTTCTTGGCGAAGGGCGGCGGGCCGAGAACCTGATCGAAGGGGCCGTGGAAGGAGGAGGGGATCATGGGGTGGCAGTGGGGGCGGAAGTGGGCGGCGGGGTTGACGTTGTCGGGAAAATGCAATTCCCCGGCGGAATTCAAGGTCAAGACAGTGGGTGGCGCCGCCGCAGCCGTGGCGGCGGCTGCGGCGGAGGAATCATTTTTTGAAGTGGAGGAAGAGAGAAAGTCTTGGAGGATGATGCCGCGGAAGTTGGAAGCGGAGCTGGCGTGGTGGTGGTGGAGGTGGAGGCTGATCGGAGTGGCGGCGGCGGAGAAATCTTGGTCGGATCTTGAGTGGAGAGAAGAGAGTGTAATATCCTTCCAAACTTCTTCCATTGGAGATCAGGGAAATGAAATGAACAAAAAGAAGAAGAAAATGATGAGAATGGCAATAAGAGGAGATGAGATGTCCATTTATGGTTGCTCTTCTCTCTCTCTCTCTCTCTCCTCTTCTCACAAGAACTTTTAGAGAGAAAGAGAGAGAGAGAGGACAGGAGTGGTGAAATGAAACCAAGTACTCTGTGGAAAATAGATAGGTGAGACAAGTGAGTTGTTGTTTTGGTACACAGTACAAAGTATATTTTGGAAAGATATTATTTCATTCTCTCAACTTCTCTCCCTCATTCCATTACCATTACATGTTAATTAATGAACCCCATTTAATTTTTAAGTTACCTCTAGGCCCGCGTTCCCGTGGAGTGGACCGATGAATGACTATTTTGAAGAGAATATTTGACGGATATTTTGGACGTGTGAGTTTGACATCTTATGCTTCGGATGCTGAAATTGAAGGTTTTAGTGGAAGGTTGAGGAAAGGCTGTGGTTGAAATGCGGGAGGGTTGGATACCGTTCTAAAAAATATATAGTGAAAACGACATCACTATTGAATCTTTCTCGATGCTAATTAAATTGGAAAGATTATTCAAATCGACCAATTAAACTATGTTCATGTTAGAGAACAGACTAAGAGTGAAAAAAATAAATAATATATATTTTTTAATTAATGACGAGTTGATTGGTTTGCTTAACCTAATAACTAATTTTGGGAGAATTCATGAACCAACTTAATTGGTAAAGTTTCAATCTGTTTGAATCGAACCCATATATAGTTTGGATTGAATTGTTCAGGTGATCTGATTTTGTGACCACTTTTCTAAATTTTATTTACCTATAGTAGGAATATGGAGAGAGAGAGAGAGAGAAAAAAGGCATTTTAACTCAAGTGGGTATGAGAAAAATGAGGGTGAAAATGTCAAAAAGGGGAAGATTTTTTATTAATTACAAAGAGTTTACACCAAATTTGGCAAAGGGAAAATGAAAAAAAGGACTGAGAGAAGAGAGAAAGAGAGAGTTTATTTACTTATTTATTTAGTTTTCTCTTTTTTTTTTTAATTTTATTTGAAACCCCAAAAAACAGGGATTCCAAATGGAGCTGACAAATGGCCGAGTTGTTATCGAAACACGTTGGCACGGCAGAGCAGCACGTGGGAGAACCGGAGCGGCGTCGTTTCGGGTGTTTGCTTGCCTTTTGGGACTACATGTCGTACGAAACTGGAAAATAACACATAGTTGTCCGATGGTCCAACACCTGTCGCCACCGGAGAAATTACTATCCCACAACCTCCAAACAAATGACATTTGTCTTTTTTTCCTAACTTCTCATTTATTTTATTTATTTATTTTTAATCAAATCAATTTTTACCCAATTAAACTCTAGACTTAAATAACTGCTACGATTTTTAGTTTCAATTAGACTTTTTTTTTGTTAAAACAATCTGGAGATGTGGAGGATCTTGAAATTCCTCGGAGGAAGTAGTACATTTTCATTATCGTTGAGTTATGTTCACGTTGGCGAAAGAACATATTGAATTGACAAAATTTAAGTCAAACAATGTATAAAAAGGATCATTAGATAAGTTTCTCAAAATTCATAAATTTCAACTATGACGATTGTGTGTTGTATTTTTGTGAAGTCCCGTCAATTATGTAACATGTATAGGTTCTATTATTTTGTCGAATGCATATATAAGGTTATACTTTATATTTAACGAGTTCTTAAACGAAAGTTTATAGAGAAGATAAAAGTTGAAACATTTATTTAACTTTAAGGTAAAGATGGTAAAATTTATTTAAGTTTATAGTATAAAATTGATCTTATATATTTAATCTCTATGATTCTAGAAGTTTCAAACACCAATCCTACATCGTATTCAATACATAATATATAAATTTACATAGTAATAAAGTTTGTGGATTCTTTACAATGCAATCTACGCGGTTTTCAAAATCTGTCTTTGAATTCAGTATTTTTAGATTTATTTTTTCTTGCGAGATTTGATATATTGTAAAGCTAAAAAAGATGGATCTCACGACCTGAAATCAAGATACAAAAAGATCTAAGGATCCGACAATAAAAACACAAAGATAATGAGACGACAACAACAAAACAACAAACAACAAACACCAGAACAACACAAACATAAACATAAACATCAGACCTAGGAAATAAAAACAACTCAATCATGAAAACAAATCCGAAGTAAACCCATCGAAACTTGGACTCTTGATCGAACACTATCTCATCAAGTGATAGCAGGGCATAAACACCAAACAAGATGTGAGTTAACCAAAACCAGACGATAGACGATACCACCGTTTGTTTCCAAATCACCAACCAACTGGACTCTAACTCGTGGAATAAGAAAGCTAATTGCAAAGGGAAGGGTGATTTGATTGATTTAATGTTGAGAGTTAAAAAAGAAAGGGTAGCGTACTGCGTGGTCATACTCATAGCCACTGTTTCGGTCTGGCAATGGAAGAGAGAACGAATCAGAGAAGGGTTTGCCGCCATTGGAGACTAGAGACACAAATTAATTACATTTAAATTTACAACACAATTAATTAAATTATATATGCTGTGGCCTATGTGTACTGTGGAGTGTGTACTGATGATAATAACAATAATCAGAAGAAAACACAACTTCTCAGATCTCGACACCTGGTTTGAATCACTGGCCAAAGCACTGCTCTCTTCAATCTCTCTCTCTCTCTAAGAAAAAGAAAAAAAAAATTGTTTGCTTTTTCCACAGACAGAGAGAGATTCTGTGGAGGTGTTTGTGGAGAAGGTGGGTGGTGGGGGACATTTCTTTTGCTTTTGGAGGTCGCAAAAATTTCTGCCCTTTTCATTTGTTTCTTGGAAAAAGCACTTCAATTCATTTTCCCATAATTATCTCAGAGAGAGAGAGGATTGTCTTGGGAAATTAGTATGGATATGGATGGATCCAAACCTATCGATTCTCAATGCTACCCTTCCTTTTCTTTAAATGTTCCGGAAAGATTCTTTGAACCAAAAGCATTTGTTAGTGTGTTAAACGGAAAGTTGACGTGGCGGGTTGTTTTTAAAAGGAGGATCGGGAAAATTTATTAACGTACACATGTGTTATATATTCTATAATTTGTAATTATTGGGAGCTTAGATACAACCAAGTTTAGACCGTGTCGCTCTGATATTATATGTTGGGAGTCCATGCAGACACGCTTTTGGTTTCATTCAAAAAGACTCAAACCAATAGACACGTTGTCTCTTTACATATTATGATCTTCTCTTTTAATAGCATGTGGTATTTTGTTTGCACTCTCTACAAACTCAAAAATAATAGATTATGTTCTGCATGTGCTTTAATTTTAACAAGAATGAAATTAGTTGATAACGGATAATATATATTTATCAAAGTTTTTATTTTCTATTTTTATGTCATTCTCCATTTTAAAGTTCCAATTTTAAAATTTAAAAGTACTAAAAATATAAAAAAACATGTTTTTTTTTTCTTTCATAGTTTCCACTATTTAGATGGCATAATTCAAGAGCGATTTTTAAAAACAAATTGGTCGAACAAATTAAATATTCACTGACTCTAAATACAATAAAATGAATTCTTTGAATTTTATATCGAAACATGCCCATAAATTGTTCTCAATGACTCTATTGGAGTTTTATGTTCGAGATTTAATGAGAAATATCTATGCATTAACCCAAGAACATAACCAAAGTTAAATTATAATTTAAAGCACCAATACTATAGTTCCTTTTTGAAAAAAAAAAATCCAATTTATGTTTGAAATTCTAACTCAAAAGACTTCACTATTTTATGTGATTAAATCATTATCCCTCCCCCATATCGACTAGTATGCAGACATAACTTTTTCTACCTGTAACATCAACTTTTCAATTAATGAATGATAATAAATTTTTAATCATTTAAAATAAATAGGGGGCAATGTTTGTGAAATTGTGCTACTTACAATATACATGATGAGGATTATTCGAACGAACTTTTAATCATAAATAAGTGCCTTAATTATGCTCATGTTGGCTACTAATAATTGAATTTAATTAAAGAAATACAACCACTGATAAATATTAAAACCAAATTGAAAAAAAAAATGAAAACATTAGAAACTAAAATATACCTGGTAAAATTATGGGTTTGGTTCTAGAGATATGTCTACTAATGAGTTCTTATACTTTAAAAAAGTTTTTAGTACTGCAACGAGTTTCTATATTAAATTCATTAATATAACATTTAATTCACAAATTGTTGATTTGAATTTACTTGGAATTAGCTCACCACGAAATCTCTTAAATAATACAAATAACGTACGTTGTGAACTAGCCATTAAACTATACTATAAATGATTAGGAATCTATTAAAAATTTAGATTATACGAGGAACAAACTCATGTATTTATTTATTTATGCTGTGAAGTAGGTAATTTGGAAGAAGCAAATTGGATCACAATTCCTTTACTAAAATGTTTGATTAGGAAAAAAAAAATCCAGAAATTGGAAAACCAAATGAAAAAAAAAAAAGTACATGAAATTATGGAGAAAGAGAGAGAGAAAATCAGAGTTGACAGAGTGTAGTCTTTAGCAAAGGGACAGCTGTCAGCTCAGTATAGGTCTGTCCCTAACATCTTTGAACAGTACTTTGTCTGCAAAATTTCTCTCTTTCTTTTTCCTTCAATAATCTCTCACCTCATAAATAAATCAACTTAAAATCCCACACCTACCCCTCTCTCTCTCTTACATCATCAAATCCAAATTTCTCTCTCTCTCTCTCTCTCTCTCTCTTCTTTCTTTAACAAATCTTCAAACCCACTTTCTATTCATATCATTTGAACTAAACCCTTTTTTGCAACTTCAATATTAATCTTCTCTATAAAAAGAATATGTGGAGAAAAAAAAAAGAAAAGAATTTTAGATTGTCCTTTGTGTAACTTGTTATTAGAAAAAATATAATGTTTTAAAGTTGTATTAGATTAGAAAGTTGTTATGTACTTCTTCCGTTGAAAAGGAAAATTCTTTTATTGGTCATTTAAAAGTCTATTTTGCTTTTCCTTTTTTTTTAATAAAAATAACTATTTTATTACACGAAGTTTATTTTGGTCTTTAGATTTTGAAAAAAATAACTATTTTTGTTCATTTTATATCATTTGACCCCTAATATACTTGCTTATCTTAATACTCAATTTCAACTTATACGATTTGTATACATGTTCAGGTCAATACGTTAGTATATTGGCTGGGAGACATAAAAAGAAAATTAAAGATATCAACAAAGCTTTCCTCTTTTTTTTTTTTTTATGTTCATAGCAAAATAGACATTTTAAACGGTTTTTAAAGTTTTTTTTTGTTTTATTCTAATAAGAATTGAAAAAAAAAAGTACTAAAAAAGTTAGATAACAACACGAAACTTTCTTTTTATGTCAATCGGAGTATAACTTAATGGATAAGACACATTTAAAGTGATAGTCTAATCTCACCTTTGAGTTCACAATGGAAAATGATTGAAAAAATCCATATGGTATATTGTTTTTAAAATTAGGTTCTTGCTATATTTGTTATATATTTATAAATATTCACTGCATATTTATTTTATTTATTATATGTTTTACTTCTCAAGCATATGATTAACACAATATTATTTGACTTTGTTTACTTATTTTTGGTCTTAATATGTTAAATTTATTTTCCATTTGACATGGCATATGTCACATTTATATAATATTGTATTAAAATATTTGAGTTACCTAAAAATTTAGTGGCAAAGATTTAAAGGAGTGTTTATATGAAGCTTCGAAGACAAAAATAAACCTTAAAAAAGACAAAAGTATAAACATTAAAAATATAAAAATTTAAGAATTAGAAATAGAACCAAAGCCAAAATATGTGGCGCTTAACAATAGGGAAAGCCAAAGTGAGCATAATCTAGCAGCATATACTTCCAACCATGAGGTTGTGTGTTTGATCCCCACACGACACGACATATTGTACTAAAAAAAAATCTAAATAAACTAAACTCTTTTTCATCTTTTGACTTCTATGAAAACGTACATCATTAACACTATTACTCTCTCATATCAAACGAGCATTATATCAAATATCTTTATCTTCATACATTACTGTCAATAGTTCTAATTCCGATCCCCACGTATGTTGTTATAGGTTTTTTTTGTTGATCTCGATGAATTTATTTCTTCCTCCTTACTTTATCATCCTGATACAAGGAAAAAATAATCTAAATAAGAAACAAAGTGATTTATATAATATGACAAGAGACTCTATTGATATTTAAAAAAAAAAATTAGAATTTTAACAAATTTAAATTAGTGTTTCAAATTGCACTCTCAAAATTTAAAAAAAATAATTGAAATAAAGTTATGAAATACGTATAAGTAATGGATATATGTATACCTGTACTTCAACAACACTGGAGCCATGTAATGCAAACAAGATGTATTCAATATCATTTGTCAATATTCGCATCTGTCAAAAAAAAAATAATAATAAAGATTTTTAAAATTTCAATTTAGTCCCTTTTTAAATAATGTAATATAACCTTACTATTATCAAATTTAAAATAGATATCAAAATTTTAAAAATTAAAACTGAGATTAAAATCAATTTTAAAAAATTTGGAAGAACAAAATAAAAATTCAACCATAAAATATTTGAACACATAAACAAAATTAATTTAACTTACTCTATTAAAAGTAGCAATCAACTGAATGGGAACCCATCCATCAACATCCATATGCTTCTTTAGGAATGTATCATGCCTTAAATTTTCGTCGCTGCAAAACCAAAAAGATTTATTTGATAATCATTTATATTTATAATATAATTTACTTAAAATAATAATTAAAAAAACTGAAAATTGATAAGAGTAGTACCTGAAATAATAATTGACTTGATTTATTATTTTCCAATATAGCTCTTTAGTAGGAAAAGGATGATATATCGGCGGCGAGGGCGGTGGTGGCGGCGACGGTGAACAAGAATTATACATGTAGTTAGATGGTCCAAAATTTGGAGAAATATAATATGCCATGGGATTTTGAGGATTCGAAAGTACGTATCCTAACAATGCCAAAGAAAGCAAAAGTAATTAATCATTCTAATATATAAAGAACGAGAAAAAGAACTTGTTTTGAAACGAGTAGAATTTGGAATAAGTTTCAATTATGGTCGAGAGATCGATACCTGAATAAGGTGGAGGATCGATGGGGGTGCAAAATTCCCAACCATAGCCATTGGAATGAGAATACCATATTTGGTTGTCAATATGATAGTGTTCAAACCCACCATTCCTAATTTTTTCCTGAAAAATAATCGTCACAAATATATGTAAATATATGAAATTAGTGATCTCTTCGAATATAAAATAAATATTCTTAATTTATTATACCAAATATTTATTTTAATTCAATATATCATTCAAAATTTACCCTAAAAGCAACAAACAAAAATTAAAAACCCTATGAACAATCGCCCCTCCAAAATTTAGGCGTATATTTTTTCATAAATAATTTCAAAATAATACCACATTTTCTAAGATCAAAGGAACTTCTTATTTATTAATATAAACTATATAAATATAAATATATATTTTGTACCTTAATCTCATAATCATCTGATCCATTGCTCGAACTTCCTCGTGCCATTGCGAACTCAAATCAAGCCTGGCCAAAAAAAATTACTATATTAAATAAAATGTAATAATTACTTCTTATGAAAATCAAAGGAAAGAAAGGAAAAAAAGAAAAAAAAAGGAAAGAAATTATTAGAACCTTAGAAAATCGTCTCAGTAAGTAGCAAGAAAATCAGTAGAAGTGTGAGAGATTAATGGAAGAAATTGCCTTATTTAAAGGAAACAAAAAAATCCTTCTCCTAAGTATAAAAGGATTAGATTATTTTGTTTAGGGTTTCGAATTGAATTCCTTTCTAAATTTGGTTTTCGAGTTTTTGAATTTTAATATTTTAAAAAATACTTTTGAATTGTTTGCCAAATTTAAAAAACAGATGCGAACGTTTTTTTAAAATAAAATGCTAAATTTAGTAGTTTTTCAAATTTCCCTGATTCACTACTAATTATTATTTTATTTTATTTTTTAATAAAAATAACTATTTTAGTCCGGAGTTTCATGATTTTATTTTTTTTTAATTTGTATATATGTTAATCAGATAGAATTGAATCCTTTTTAAATTTGGTTTTAAAGTTTTGAATTTTAATATTCCTTTTTTTAGGGAAAAAAATACTTTTAAAATTTTTTTTTAGCCAAATGTAAAGTATTAAAATTCTAAACTTCTTTTTTAAATGCAAGATTTAGTTTTTCAAATTTCCCAGATTCACTACTAATGATTGAAAATCTTCCATAACTCTAAATCTAATCTAACAAATTTTAAATACCTGTAACATTCCTAATTGATCTAATAATAATTTTTTTATCTTTAAACTTGGCTATACTTTCAAGTTTCAATTTCACCATTAAAAAACAAAGAATCGATATGAAAACCAAAATAAATATTATTCTTTTTGGTTTTATTTTTTAAATAAAGATGTTAGAGATTAGAATTAGAATGGATGGTTCAAAAGACTAAACTTCGTGAAGAACCCCATTCGAGATCTCCCTAAAGTGAGGCTGCGCCGAACCATCAAAGTTAAACCACTTTATATATACATCAGTACATTGTTAAAGAAAAACATGAACATCAGATGACTAAATAAAACAAAAACTGAAGAGATTGGAGAAAATGCAACAATAATATTCATAATGGCAAGAGCATAACAGGGCAGGGAATGAACTCAGCCAGTAAGTTTGCATCCACATGCTTAGAATGAATGGCTTCCATACTTATAACTACCAAATCCAAGTTCAGTTCATCAGCCACCTCTCCTATGATTGCCGTTGGCTTGCTCCCTTCCCCCAATCGCTCTAACAATCTAAACTCTTGATATCCACCTGTGTCATTTTAGAGATTCTTGGTGGGTCAAACCCGACACTATAATGTTTCATGTTTGGATGGAACATTTGTAATGTTGCCTAACACGTAGGTAGTCATCATGGCTTGAACTAACTAACGACACGAATGAGTTTACTCTTTGCCCTTTTGAATTTAAGGAATATTGCAACATCAAAGTGAAGTTCTAACTTGGAGTTGTGTACGAACCTTCAGACAAATGCCAACGAATGCTTGAGAGTTGCTCCTCGTGCTCTGGAAATGATTCTTTCTGCTTTTCATCAATCACTGTGGAAACCATAGAGCTATAATTTTCAGGAGTTTTGCATCATAAAGATGAAAAAGAAAAACGTAATGAACATACAGACTACTGTTATGTCAGCCCCATTGTTCTTTGCCAAAGCGGCGGTAGCAGCAATAGCCTGTTCAAAACATGGATCCAAAACCAACTTAGAGGTTGAAAAGTTCTTCTTACGAGAAGCCAAACTTAGGAAAATGAAAAAAGACAGACATACTAAAAAACAGCCCAAAGAAAGGAAGCCCATCTAAATAAAGGGGCTTCAATCCAGCAAGATAACTCTGGGCTGATAATTACCAAGAAAAACTTAGAAACCGACCCTCCACAAGGAAGTATTAAATCTGAGCTGGAAAAGATTTCACCATTGATCTCAACCTTTTTGCTGACAAAATCTCTCATTTACTAGTGCTTGAAAAGTTTGGGTAAATGAGAGATTGTCAGCAAAAAAAGGTAATAATATGTGAAATAAGCTGTAACAATTTACATTCAATATTTACTGCAACAGATGTAATTAGAGCCTAGTGAGTCATAATCAATGGGAATCTTTAAGAAATAGAATGATACTAGAAATCGAAATTTCAACCATACAGAAACAAGTGTTCCCTATAATTTTCCATCAGATTTGCTAATTGAAATGTCACTCTTGAAACATAATCTCAAGTTTATTGGCAATTAAAGGACTCTCATCTAAAACAAAAATGACCTTGGTGACCATTTAGACGCTTGTCTAAATCAATTTTCATGTCAATAGCAAAATTTGACGTTACAAAAGTTCGGTCAGTCACCTGTCTCGTTCCCTCTGAAAGAAAAGGGTTGCGATCAGTTATTGGAAGCAGCAGGTGTTTGAATTGAGTGAAGGAGTCGGCAACTAATGTTGCTTCCGAATCTTGTGGCTTAGCTTTTACTGATGGCAGACAATTTTCAAAACTATGTTATGGGAATTCAATAAGATAAATCTAATAAAAATCTTCTAGTTTCACTTGCAAGACTAGAAAATGCATAGAAAAGGGTGAAACTTATGAAACACTCTTCAGAGATATAAAGCCCCACAAAATGTTAAAGGTTCACTAATCTTCTTTGAATTTGATCAAGGGTGTGTTCAACAGCACTGCAGCAGTAGGATTTTACCATTAAAGTAAGATTCTTTATTTCACAATTGTTGTATGGCATAGAACACACTGGGTTAAATCCATTTAGCAACTATAACAAAATTAAAATTCAAAAAAAAAAATTCAATTGGTAAATAAAATAGCAAATCTCTTGCTCTTCATGTCCCTAAGAACCTATAATATTCTTTTAACAGAAATCAACATACAATATAAATACCATGAAACAAAAGTTATACAATTGTCCAAAATTAAAGGTAGTTCAATTAACAACTCCCTGATCATAACAAGATTTTTAGCATCGGGACTCAAAAGCAATTTTAAAGTATGAAAACTAAACAGTTACATAATAACATCATGAGGACGACCAAAATATTGCTTCGATTCCAGTTCCTAGATAGAATTGGTTCCAAATGGATGAATTGTAGCGTACTACCAAATATGCTGAACCCAAAATTAATCTTCAATCCATGAAACAAAGCAACTAAAAAATAAAAAATAATAATAATAAGGAAAACCGCACATCTATTGCATACCCAAAAATGAATCAACAAGTGCAAAATTAGAAGAATACACCCAATAAATTCAAGCAACATTACAATAAACCAAGGAAAATGGAGGGTGGGACTGTGAGCAGCAAAATCAGATGAATAAAACGTACGACGATGGTCCATTTTGCAGCACAGAGAGGAGATTGGGAGCTTAAAACGTCCGCACCGACGAGAAGCAGAATTGAACGCGACAGCAAAGGAGGCGTCAGTAGAAGAAGAAGAAGTAAAAATGAAAGGACTGGGATGCTTCGACGTTTCGAGAGGAAGAGCCAGCAAGCAGCGAGCAGACGCCATAGTTGGAAGAAGAAGAAGAAGAAGAAGATGGTTCGAGAGAGAACTGAAAATGAAGCTTTAAAGGGGGAAATATTGTGGTGAGGCCAAATTTTAATCCGGACTCTGGGTTGGGCTTTCATTGGGCTTCATTTCTTAGCAAAATGGGCCCAAAGCCCTTTTAAAATGAGCCCATTCTATCAACTGAATCACATTTTTTTAGAAGGAATTCTAATAAGATGTTTAAATTTAAAAGAAAAAACATTTATATTTTAGAAATAAAAAACCAGGGGCCGTTTATGCTTTAGAATGTTGATGTTTCTTGTTTCTAGTTTCTTGTTTTTCATTTTTTTTAAAAACGTTTTTAAAATTGTATAAAAATTTTGAAAACAATACAAACAAGTTTCTTATTTCTTATTCTCATTTTCAAAACATTTAAAGAAAAATTATTTTATCATTCTTAGATCTCCGAGTATGAGAATGTTACCAAACTAAATTCGAATTTCTTGTTCCCATTTCCTACAAAATCAATCTTTTTAATAAAAAGAAAATGAAGAATAAAAAATAGTTACTCAACGTCATTATATTTTTCTTCATTACAGAATAGAAACAAGGAACATGAACTTTACCAAACGGATTCGAAAAAACCGATTTCATTTTGTTTGAACTAAATTTCAATTTAGTTCTTATAATTTAAATTAATTTTCTTACAATGAGATTGCATAGCCACTGATTGTACTAGAGTTTAGAGTTTTCAAGGGGGTGAAAATTGATTTAGGGACAATCTACAACAAACAAATTAAATGCCACCTTTAACAATAGTGATATTATACACATTACACATTCATATTCCAAACGAGATCATGAACAAAAGTTTTTCATATTTCAAACTTCAATCTGTAATTCTCCTTTCAATGAAAGAAGGGCTAACGGCCAACTCATACTACAAATTTATTGTTACAAACCATTCTATACTTCCCACTTACAATAAATTTCACCAATATTAAACCATCTATCAATCTATAAGCTCAAACTATATGGGTTAAACAATATAACTATATAAGAATATAAAGGTAACAAAAATTTATCAAACAAAAAGCAAAAATGGAAAAAGAATCATTACCAACGTGAGAATGACTGAACTTAGAAGGTTTGAACCACTATTTCCTGCAGGTCTTGGTGGTTCTATAGTTCGAGAAGAGTTGTTAATGTTGCTGTTGCTGTTGCTGTTGGCTTGTGGGTTGACTGCTCTTCCGGGGGCGGGGGCGGGGGCTGGCGATGGATCGACGGGAAAATTGTTGGTGATCTCATTCTCGTCACCATTGCCTGGAAAATTATAATCTCATGTTATAAGGTAGCTGCAAAATTTTATCCCGGAAGAGAGAAGAAACTAAGAGAACTTTAGCAGAGATACTTACAGTTTGACTTCTTCCAACCCAAAACCATCTTTTCACGGTCAAATACTATGTGATAACCAGCCATGAAGTTTTCTGCGTGAATGCAAAGTGTAATATGTATACACATCATGAGAAAAAAGATCGGCTTGATATATTCGCAGTGAAGTGACAAACAACATTTCTAGAGTAAATCCATGTAAAGTATAACAAAGGCACAAAGCTATGGCCAATTGTTGATTTAAGTTCACAACTCGTATCCTCCATGTCAGGTTTTGTGCATCAATGAAATTCTCTATTTCTTTTCAGGTTAAATTATACCTTAACTTTCAAAGTTATGTTTAATAGGTCTGTGAACTTTAAAAAGTATCTAATAGGTTCTTAGCTTTCAATTTTGTGTGTAATAAATTCCTAAACCATCAATATTGATACCTAATGGATCTCTAACCTAATTGAATATTGTATTTAACAGGATCTTGACTTTTCAATTTTGTATCTAACCTAACGAATTTTACAAATGCTAATAGATCAACGACTAATTAGAAACAAAATTGAAAGTTCAAGCAGTTATTAGATACTTTTAAAGTTCAAGAGCTTATTAGACACAAAATTGAAAGTTTAGAAACCTATTTAGATACAAATTGAAAGTTTAGGGATCTATTAGACACGCTCCTAAAAATTGAAGGACTAAATAACTTTTTTTTTTTTACACGCAATCCTTCATATGTGGGGTTAGAGGAATAAAAGGTGGACTCTTGATATGAAACGAAAAGCAAGCAATAAGCAACTTAAATGCACAATCGATTACCATCCTACAAAAGATAAGTTCTACAAGATGTGGTAACTAAACCTCAAGGTGTCGATAAACTATCAGCCAAAAACTGAGATACTTACGTCCAATGATATTAATGTCTGGACTTCTGAAAATGGCAATACAAAAAATACTTGTCACCTGAAGAACATGATCAGAAAGAAAGTTAACAATAGTAGCCAAAGAGAATATTACACAATACTAATCATAACTTTACCTTGCCGTTGAACGGAATCACTGGATGATTGATGAAAAACTGTTTACCACCTTTCATCGTCAGATTCATTACAGGGTATGTGAAGTTGTTTTGGTTTGGGCTGAAAGAAAGTGGAAGTCAGCACATGGTAATGAAAAAGAGAGATTTATCTCTAAACTGGTATCTTCCCACGGTATAATTACGTTACGATGGAAATAATATATTACGTGATAATTGTTAATTAGTTAACTATGTTTCAGATTTTGAATGTTTGAATACTTGGATATTTTTTCAAAGTTGGCATAGTTTTCTTCTATCGTCATTTGTGGTTAGATTTAGTCAAGTTAATAGTTAAAGTGGGTTTAACCATTGTGAAGCTTTAATTATTTTTGGTGGAGTTTTATGGCTCTGGATGTCTCAATTCCGAGATACTTTTCACATTATGTTGTAACTTATACAATAAAATCACCTGAAAGAAGTGTAGAATTATTTATTGAAATCTTTGAGTTAATAAGCCTGATCTCTTCTGAAACTCAATTCAGAGATCAAGGTTTCCTCAAATTAGATTCTTATTATCTTTTATTCTTGCTGATATATGGAACCATATCACGTTACCTCATTTCATAGCAGTTTTCAAAAGGGAAGTCTGAATTCATTGTATACCGCTTTTCTTCAACCATAGAATCAAACTACAAAATGACATGGATAAGCAAACTGAAGGACATGGCGCAAGAAACTGCAGATAAGTTTACAGTGTGCTTACTTTGTCAGAAATAAGTGAATAGGCCGGGTCGTTCAGGTAGGTAAATGAGGTCCCAGAATCAAAAATTGCATCAAATTCAAGATTGGAAACGTTTCCTCCCACATTTATCTGAGTGATGCTGATGTTGTAAGTTGGACTGACATGCACAAAACGAGAAAACAAAATAAAATAAAGACCATTAGAACGATTTAATTGGAAATTTCTACTTGTGCAGCTTACAAAACATGAAGTTAGCATATACACTCTATTAGGAAGTGGCACACTAACTGTTTTCGTCCTAAGTTGAATGGTGTTTCACTTTGATCCGGACTACCTTTGTCTCCAAATTCAATTCTTCCCATTCCATGACGTCCAAAACACAAGGAAAAAGAATTTGAAGTGAGTCCTTCATTTGCCAAGATGCTAGGAACTGAAACATTCTCGATACCTAGCCCAAATAATCCATTTGGTGCTGCAGAGTTTAAAAATGCACCACTCTGGTCCTTACCACACCTGATGAACAACATATCCAGATAACAATAACCCAACTGAGTAGAATGAAGAACGAAATCAATTATTATTGAAAGGCGAGACAAGAAGAACGAAATCAATTATTGAAGAGATAAAACGATAACCTACCCAAGAGTAATCTTTGCATTAACGGGCTTTGATTGGTCATCGTTTGTGGTTAAGTGCAATATATCCTCTACCAAGTAGCCAGTAGAAGAGGTGTTTTCAGAAAGGTACGAGACCACATATGGGCATGTGCCACTCGGTGAAGAGCATTGGCTTGCATGTGAACACAAGGCGCTACTACATGGGACCTCCTTACTGGTTGATGAATTATTAGGGCTGTAGATATTAAATCTTATTACCTGTTGCAGAAACAGTAACAGAAGAAATTCCCATGGAAATCAGTAATGAGATAAAGACAATAAACAGAACACATCAAACTTTTCTTTTAACATATAACAATATAATTGATTTTTATTTTTTTTACCAGAAACAATTTTTCATTGATTTAAAAATGGACGCGTTTGATTTTGAATCTCCTTTTCTTATAAGATCTTGAGTCACTCAAGAAATGCCCACTTGACACAAGAATTTCTTGATAAACGTTTGTTATATTCTACCATATCCATCCAAATATATATTGGCTTCTTTAATTTCTTATCCATAGCATAAAAAACAATGATTTTAGAGTGAAAGTCCTCAAAATATGTACAAAGCTCACCTAGTTTTCAAAATACACAATTTCAACAATATATGCACAAAGTGTCTTAACTCCTAATTCCTCAGGAAATAACATACATAATCCATCATGTCCATGTCACATGTGTTTGTGTTCGTGTTTCTCATGTCAAGGACTTCAAGAATGAATCAACTAACCCTCGAAAAATTAAAATCGAGGAACAGAAATAACAGGGTTTAAGAAATATTACCCCACTGGATGAATTCAACCCAGTAACACAATTAACACAGTCACATGGTAACCAGAACAAATCGCTGCCAGTATCCAACGCCACTAAATACGATACCGCGGGCGTCCCCACCTTAACTTCAGCGTAATGCAGGCTGAGTTCCAACAACACATAAGGGAGAGAAAAAAAAAAAAACAGTAAACATGAGAATCACAAAAGAGATACCGAGACTCAAATAGGAAAGCGAATGAACGTTCATTTTAGATTCATAATTCAAATCTAAACTCGATGACCTAGCACAATTCTGTAATTACACATCTAAGGCGAGAGAAAGAATTGATGAAGAGAAAGGCGTACAATCCCAGAGGATTGAGTCGAATAGTTTCGTTGCCGGAGATGAAAGTGAGCGGAGGGCGATCTTCAGCGGTAGCAAGTCGACGGGCGCGGAAGAAATGGTCTCTACGGAGCATAGCTGCGTAGTACTCGAGAGTGCCCTCCTCCGGCAAGCCGTCGACGGGGAGGAGTCGACGGACGGCGTCGGAGTAGCGGTGGTGGACATCGAACATGAACGATCCGTGGGCATTAGAGAAATGGGAAACGAAACTGAAAATGAAAAAGGAAACGCAGAGCATTAGGGAGAGCGGAGGAAGGGAAGAAGACGAAGCCATGGCTCCCGAATTAGAAGCAGAATTGGAAATTTGAAGAGGGATTCATTACAATGGAAGCAAGATTTTATGGAAGAGAGATTTTTAAAATTTGAAGTCAGTCAGTCTTCTTCTTCTTTCGCTCTTCTGTGCGTGTGGACGTTCTGCACTCCAGACGAAACCAAGGACTTCAGGTGGGTCCCACTCCCATTCCACTTCATTTTTTTCATTTTTCAATTTTTCTTTTTAACCTTTTGGTTTATTTTTTATTTTTGTTCAAGTACCACCGCGTGATTGACTCACAATTTTAATTATCGCCGAATTGTGTTTGTTTTTGCGGGTGGACTATTTATTAATTAAGTTAAAATACTATTTCGTCCCTAATTTATATATTCTATCATCGATCTCGTTGGTTTCAATGTATTACTTAGAACCCAATTTCAAGTATATTCAGATCGGATGCACGCTTTCGCTCATTTTGGTCTGATTTATTTTTCTTTATATACTTTCAAAACGTTGATCTTGGATTAGGAGGGGATCCACATAGGACGGGTATGTGTGTCCTACATTAAATACTTTATATTTTGCTTATTAATTAATAACACTAATTTGGATAGGCATGATATATTGGCTAGTTTAGGAGAATTAGATGCAGGGAGTCTTAATAACTAAAATTTATGAATAATAATGAATATTTTCTTTAAAAAATTATCGGATATTATTTTACTTATTTTTATGTATTTTAGGATAAAATTTTTGGATCTCTCGCTAGATTTGGTCATCGTATCTTTAAAAATTAAGTTTTTAACACAGCTTCTCTACACATTAAAAATTCTTTAACATAAAATTATGACTCTATTTCTTAAAATATGTTGAGTGATGACGTCAAAAATAAAATAAAGGGGCCAAGACCATCACCTATAAGTGGACTAAAATGAACAAAAGTTAAAATTATAGAGACCAAAATAGATACGGTTGTCAAAATGAATAAAGACTGAAAGTACAAGAACCTAGTATTTTAACCTTATAATTATAGTTTTCCTTACTTCACCAACTCTAAATTCTAAAGGTAGATATCTTAATTTTATAGAAAGGTCAACATATGTGAGTATAAATATAATTTAAGAGCTAACACATTCCTCAACACTAATTAGTCTATATCTCTAATCAAGAGATCATGAGTTCGAATCTCCATCTCCAGTTGTTCTATTAAAAAAATTATAAATTAAGATATTATGACATTTTTAGCATAGTCAAAATATGTATTATGAACTAAAAAGTCGAAAGTTTGATTTGCAATCCTATAATTTTGAGGTGGTCTTTTTCTTTATCATAAAAATATATGATTTACCCTAAAATAAGCTAAAGCAAAGGTCCTAACATTTTCAGTCCCTAAACTTTTTAGATTTATTATATTTTGATTGGTAAATTTCTAAATATCTATTTTAGTTATAGCCTCTTTTTCTACTCACACTTATTTTTCATTTAGTAAATGGATAACTTTATTTCACATACATAAAATATGGTTTTGAGATGGAGATTAGAACCTTTGAACTTGACTCATTCCTTGACTAATGGAGTTGGATGCAAATTGGATGGTTGGTCTTTTGTTTTTTAAGACAAATTTTTATAAATAAAACTAGAGTTGAAACTTTTGGTTATAATTTCTACTTTTGTTTTACTTTTGAAATATTGATTTTACTTAAAAAAAGGTGACTATTTTTTGTTCTTTAATTTTTTATTTTTATCTCATTTATTTTAGTCAAAATTTGAGTATAATACTATACTTATTAAATTTCTTGAAATGCGACAATATCCTAAAAAATTTCTGAGTTGAGTGAAAATTTTATAAATAAAGATCGAAATGGGCGCGTACAAAAGCAATGCTCTAAAAGTATAGTGTTACGGGTTCAAGGAAAAAAATAAAAAGAAGGTTAATTTTTTCAACGCTGAGGCTCAAAATTCTACTTTGGCGACTTAATTTTGGTCATTTCAAAGTCTTCCCACCAACAAATGGACAACACGCGTAAACTTGGCCAGCTAAGCTTTTAGTAAGCGGTTATGGCCGCTCAATTAATTGCCCAATCACCCAATTTTTATTTCCACTCTAATTATCAATTTACATTATATTCTTTGAAAAAAAAAAAAAGTTATTGTCTACTCCATCGTAGCATAGGTGGATAAGATATTCATTATCATTTCAAATAATTCGTTCTAAAAAAAACTTCAATCTAAATCTCGTTGTTTAATTAAATATCATAAATCGTCTCAATATCATTCTTTTTTTTTATAATTTATTTATTTTTTATATAATACTCCATCTTAAACTTTTATACATTTAACCATTGTAGTAAGCCATATAGAATATATTCATTACTATGATGTAAATCGAAAAAATGTATCGTGTCTTTAACATGGTAATGACTTGTATGACATCGAGGGGAGATGCAAAATTTTACCTCTTAACTTTTTCTATATGAAAAGGTTGGATTCTAAAAATTTTGGAAGGGAATTGGGGAAATGATAAGAAAGCTACAAAATCTTAGTATTTCATATAAAGTTTTTGAATTATGAAAAATTAGGTTGCTTATTTTATTATTAAGTTATACTCATTTTGTTGGGGCTATGACATTTTGATCGATAATATATGTTTTAAATAATTCTTTTAAGTTCAATAATAGGGGTGGAGATTCAAATTCACAATCTATTAGTTGATAACATATATTTTAATCAGTTGACTTATGGTCAAATTTAGTTACGTAACATGTGTATAATATATTATGTTTATGCATTAAGAATTCGATGAGCCATCATTTATGGGATGAACAATATTATTAATGTTGATAATAAAAGTTATTCGGCCATTTGGACTTTTCTAAGGTCATTTTATTTATAGTTAAATGTACACTCAATTCATTTAACTTTACGGGTAGATGATAAGATTATTGTTAATTTGATCATAATTTAATAATTTATATGTAGCTTTTTTAAAAGGTCGTAGAATCTATAAGATTTAAACACGCGAAAAGAAGATAATAATAAACACGAAAACTCATTCAGCAAAATGTGATTCAAGCCCATTTTAAAATTCAAATCTATGGATTATAATTTGATAATCCTTTACATTGATAGTAAAAGAAAATGATTATATGAAACTATATTTAATATAAATATAGGTTGTAGTGACCAAAATGACATTCTATTTGTTTTTCAATTAAATAATGGTAAAATGACGGGAAATCCACATTTTGATCTCTTGGGCCGGTCGGTTGATGGTTCTGATTTTGGACCGAGCCCAACTATTTTCTAAAATCCCAATTAATTAGGAAGAAAGAAAATTTAAAACTATGGCTCATGATATTAATATTTGATAATTTTTTCTTATTATCGCCACACGACCGGAGGTTCGAACCCACAATTTTTTAGTCTGGATACATATCTTAATCAGTTGAATTATTCACAAATTTACAATATTTGACGAATTGAATTACCTTATTTCATAACCAAATATGTATCTCAAGTAAATCAATAGGTATTGCAAAATATAAAATCAATTATTGTTATTATAAAGTCAATAACGGATTAGTTAATTTTTTTAAAGATGTATATAAATTATTTATTTATAAATATTTTATCTAAAATGGAGCTATTTAATAACATTTTTTTAGCGTATAACTATTTAAGGTATTCAAGAGAGACTTTTTTTTAAACAAATATTACATATTTTAATAATGTTTTTTAAAATATAGTATTTTGTCAGGGAAATTGTGCATAATTTCAAGTGAATAATCACATTTTTAGGAATAAAATTGTATATAGGATAAGCATTTTTAGCACTATTTACTTTTCTATGTAAATGTTTATTTAACAATTTTTAAAAATAAAAATATAATAATTCCTTAAAAAAGATAAAAATAAAAATATAATATTTTGGCCGATCTTAACATTGGAATTCGGGAAATCTTTTGATTGTGTATTGATATATGGATTCCATGTATTTTTTGTACCACTAATTAGGGTTAAATTCTCACATGTTTCTTCCTTAGTAAAATATTTTTTTGATATGTCCGATTTATTTTGATTTCCAATTGGCTGAACATGAAAAAAAAAAAAGAAAAGAAAAGAACTATTTGATTTTTGACCCGCCCCCAGCTACATGTTCTTTGGACTTGTCGTCCTTCACACGTGAAAGCAAGTTAGGGAGTCATTTGTTTTTCCGCTGTAATTTTTAAAATAAAGGTTTAAATGTCCCTAAAAAGTAAGTTAATGTATGCGAAACATATAAAATGCTATTAATCTTGCCGCACAGACGATGAATACAACCAACTATCATTAAGAATTTCATCTTTGACCAAAAGCAGGCAAGGGGGGAATACCAGAAAGAGTATCTAATAAAAAAAAGCATTAATATAAATAACTTTTCTCCCTACGTGGGAAGTTACACGAAAAAGAAATTTTCGATGCCTAACATGATTGATAGTTTCATTCGATCTCATTTGCTCCTATGATCTATCTTGCAGTGATATGAAAAGTTTGAGTTTCAAGTTTTAAACGACCTTCAAATCCACCAAGCCCACTCAAGAAATTCGAGACCTTTTATAGGAGTGAAGCCGCTTTATCGAGTTTACAAGGGGAAGAAGCGAAGTAGCTTGACTGATAGTGTTTCTAGTAAAAGCAAACACTATAAGTTGATTCAATCTCTTCAAACTTGATTCGAGATATGAAGTTTGATTATGAGTTTATGACGAAGATCAATGAATTTTTAGAAAAAGAATACTTATCATTCTGTATAGTCTGATTAGATAGAACTATTCTGAAGTCAGAGTCCCTTACTTAAAAGCATAAATGGGTTGCAACCCTAACTGATACACTATCTTAGTATCTATCTTTGACCAATTTTGATAAAGATTCGAAATACTGTCTTCCATCTGAATTGATCAAGATACTTTTAAAAATATTTCACAAACAAACGAATAAATAAAAAAAGTATCCCCATCAAACACCTTCCTAAAATCCAAGCAATAAAAAAGAAAGAAAAAGATAACATTACAAAAAGGCAAAGTCAAACAATTATTTTTCCCTTTTCTTATTTATGAATGACATGCAATGGGGATTTATTTCAAATCATTATAATA